GTATTGCATAGCAGTACTGACCATACCGTACGGTCACGCCCCCCGTTTTCCAGTACGCTTGCCGGCAACACCAACAATACCAGAGGTACCGGCGATACGCAAAAAAAAAGTCAGCCTCGACGACCAGCGAAAAACTTCGACTTGCTTTCAACCTCGAGCCGCCAACCTCGACATCCCATCATCGCCAGACGCTCCCTTCACGCGTGATCCACCAGCCATAACTGCGCCTTAGCCATGCCGACTCTACGACTCCTCCAAGGAAGGCGCCGTTGAGCCGCGTTCCTCCAGTTGAGCGACCTTGGTAGATATACGGAGTATATGCTGCCAGTCACCTCGAACCAGGGGGCTCGTGGAGGCGTCTTAATCAGCGTGGCGTTGTATCCGGCCCTCCGCCTCACGAACGATTCCTTCTGCCTTGCCATCGACAGAAAGGGAGTTATTGACGGTTGATACGGTGTCTCATTTGCCGCTCGTCATTGCCATCCTGCACCTACGTCCCTCGTCAGACGGCTGTTGAATTTGTGCTGTTGTGCTGTGCAGTCAGCCCAGCTACGTACATACTCCAGACGGAGTACATCTGAACGCTTCTAGGCCAGTGCATTCGTTACTAGGGCCTACGGTATTGTACGGCATCCCTGGTCGCCTAACAACGAACGGTTAAACCGTCACGAATCAAACACCTATTATTAAGGTGCTACAATAACGGACTTCCTCGAGTAGTGCTTCTCTCTCTCTCTCTCTCGATCGACTTGGAGCAGGACGGAGGTCTCGTCTCGAATCGCACGTTACACCTGCCAGCGACGTCCTCCAGCAATCCAGATCATTTTGCTGGCTTGATACTGGCTCTATCAAGTCACCGTCGATCCCATCAGACCCGAGGCTGGCACTACCAGTTCCTTTTCTCACGAGAATTTAGCCCGTCAGCTTGCGCCACAACTCGCTCCTCCAACGCCGATACATCCAGGTCCACCTCCACCAAGACCATAGGTGTCACCCTTCCTCCTGCTTCGCCCTCCTCGCCATTCGCTTTATTCGCGCTTGCTGGTCCTTCCGTTCCAGCGTTTTCCCTCCTGTATCATTTGCTGTTGTTGCTTCATGGCTCTCGCGTGCTGCCCATCAACGCTACGCTGCAGACCGTAAACGTGATCATTTCCAACCGCGCAGTGTCTCTCGTTTTCCTTCCCTTTATGCCCTAAAACTCCTCCCCAGGTGTTCCTTTTTGTTAGTTACTTTTTTTCGCCTTTGCCTTTTTTCTTGTATTTTTTTTTTTTACCTACGTACGCATTTTCTCTTTTCACACGCAAACTCGCTACCCGTTACCAACCGGCTAACAACCGTAACAGTTGGAATATCTGGGCCTCTCCATCCATAACTCTTCAGCAGTTGGGGTGGTGTGACCAACAACAAACACCCAAGCTGGCCGCGCACCAGCAGTCTTCGCATGGCTGAATCCCTCACACAGGCTCCTGAACCGGCCTGCCCCCCAAGCCCGGCATCGAGGTCTGTGAATGGTCGTGCCTCGAGCTCTGCGACTCCAACTCCAAGTTCGATATCGCTGTTTTTGAAACCCGACGAGCTCAAAGACGAGCGCAACCTGTCAACCATCGCGAACGCGGGACTCAACGTCACCTCCACACCCTTAGCTGAAAGGAACAAACGGCCATCCCCGCCCACAATGACGTCTCCCAGTCAACGCGCAGAGGAGGAGCAGAATCAGCGCCAGAGCAGCAATCCCCAGTCCGCCAGAAGAACTCCGGAAATAACGGTTGTGGACGGAACCCGTGAATCTACTCCAGTTCGCACCAGGCGGTCGTCGAAACCGGCTGCTATATTACAGGAATCACAGTCCCGGAGGAGTCCGTCCAGCGCCCCGGATAGCTTTGGCAATGGAGAGAATCCGCCTACTCTCATGAATAGCTCCACGGTTGCGAGCCCCGGGCCAATAGAGGAACCAAATCCTCTAGAGGATAAATCTCAAGAGAGAGATGAGATCGAAGAAGGTGGTAACAAGTCTTTCTCATATCCGGTCCCCATGCCCACTGCCGGCAGCATGAACGACCCCCGGCGCGGAATGAGTCTCCCTCACTCGGGACTAAACAAATCCGGCGCACGCTCTCCGTCTTCGAAGAAGCATCGATGTCCATACTGCGCTACCGAATTCACTCGACACCACAATTTAAAAAGCCACCTTCTAACTCACAGCCAAGAAAAGCCATATGTTTGCCAAACATGTCAGTCTCGGTTCAGGCGACTACACGATCTAAAACGACATACAAAACTACATACCGGCGAGAGACCTCACATATGCCTCAAATGCGGTCGTCGATTCGCTCGTGGAGATGCTTTGGCGCGACATAATAAAGGGCCTGGCGGCTGTGCTGGTAGACGGTCTAGCATGGGCAGTTTCGCTGGTGAAGATGAATTTGGAGACGGCAACGCCGGTACTGGGCCAGTAGGAGAGGACGCAATGGAGGGCCTCATGTACACAGAACCAGACCGGATGGACGAGGAGGAGGAAATGCGCCTGAATCTCCCTTCTATCAAGAAAGACGGTGGTTCGGACCAGTCTCAGCCCGGCTCTGCTCGTCACATACCCTTTCAACAATCTCATCAGTCAAGCACCTATCCACCTCTCGCGGCTCCACGATCACAACAAAATCTCAGTACCAGCAGCGGCGGCCTTTTCCCCCCAACTAGCAACCATCAACGATCGAACTCAACCACCTCTTCCATCTCCCAGTCCCCTTCACACCTTTCGTTCCCACCTGGCCCGTCTTCTCCGTCCATGTTTGCACAAGCAGGCATGACCGAATCCCCAAAACCTCTCTCTCCAAGCGGCGCTGCCTCACGGCAACTAGGTCACGGCCCCGAAAACTCTTTCCGCCAGACGCACCCGTCCAGTATGCCCCAATACCAATCTCAGATGCGCAATGGTTCAACAGGATTAGGTATACCCTTTTCTTCCGTTTCATCACCCGGGGGTAGTCTAAGCCATCCAGGTTCTCAAGCAGGCACTCCTCACCTTCCACCTCCTCTAGGCCTTAACCCTTCCGACTCCCGCTTCCCCCTTCATTCCCAACAGCAGCAGGGCCCTCATCACCCCGGTCGTGCTGGCTCTCATCCGCCTCTTCAACACCCGCACCACCCTCCCGCCCCATCATCTAGCATCGACAGCAATACCGCCCCGAGCTCGGGTAGCGGTAGTGGGAATAGCAGCTACACAAGTGCGCCGTCTAGTGAAGGATTTAACCCTAATGGTTCGCTAGCTAACATATCAGGGGCGTCATATTTCACCCATTCGCCGCATCAACGTGGGTCAAGCGATCAACCCACACGGCAGCTATCGATCCCTAGTCCTAATCCAAATCTACCCTCGACAGATAGGATATGGGGGTATATGCGAGCGCTCGAAGATAGAGTCAACGGACTGGAAAGCGAGGTCGTCAGGCTGCGTGGCCAGTTGAGCAATATCACAAGCAGCGGCGAGAAACCCCAGGATAAAAACACCGGAAGCAGTGGGAAAGCCGAAACATTACCGTCTAACCCTAATACTCTCCCCACTCCTGTGTCCACCGCCGCTGTCCCAACCACTACCGCTGCAATCGCACAGACGACGGCCAGTGGCGCTACTAGTGGAGAAAAGACAACGAAAACTCCGAATCCTGGTGGACCCTAATTTGATATATACCTACTTTGTATAGGAAGGCGCCTAAATTTGGCTCCGGCTCTGAATTTGCGCATTATCGTTCTGGACTTTTTTCTAACGAATTTTTATACCCTTATTTAATATCCACTCACGCACGGGTTATTGCACGGGATGGTCGGGAATCAGCATTCATTCTTCCCAGCATGTTCGGAATATGCTATTAAATTGCATTTGGTTCATCAGGCAGTTGGATAAAAAGATGATTTTGATGGCAGTCATAAAGCTCCCAAATCTAACCCACTCTTTTTACTTCCTTTCCTCTCTTCGTGCCGTTCATTCATAATAGGATTTTCATTGGAGGCAACCGAGATATAACCGGGTTCCTACCTCTCCCATATACCCTGAAATATACCCACATCTACGTCCTACAATCTTATGAGGTCGTCCTGCCTTATCTGTGAATAGATATAAAACAATCCATGTCATCTATTCCTTGTTTGCCGAGAACAAAAAAATGTATATGATGTTTTGGCTGCCAGCCTGCCTTTCCAGTTTCTATTCACTTGCGCCTTTTATATTCTCTCCCTTGCCTTTTCGCTTCGTTCAGCTCATATTACTATTCATACGTACTTTATCCCTTTTTCACTTCGTTACGCCCTATTTCTCTCCACTGCTGCTGTTCTAGTCACCTTTTAGCGCAGCTTCTATATCCTTATATACTCTTCTATTCTATACCATGCATTCGCCAACCCGGTCCAGTTCTAGTTTATTTAAATGAACGACTGAAATGATTATTTCACTCTACTACTCTCCTCTCTACCTTGGCTTCTTCCCTCTGTTTCTCCGTGTGATTAGTTACGGTCACCTCTTTGGTTGATCTCTTGTTTCTATTGATTGTTTGGGTATTTAGTTTGCTTGGTCGGGTTTATTTGGACTGATAGACATGACTGCTAGTTTATTATTAGCATATATGCCTAGCTCAGGTGGTAGCTGGGGAATATTTTATCAATGTCAGAAGCTATGGCTGGATGATGAGGCCCTTTGTTCAAGTCATTGAACCCTCTCTTTTTACAGAACATCTATGACAATCATGCCACCTTGGAGTGGATAAATCAAATTCTTGGTAGAGCAAGTGAAATAGCCTTTATTCGAAATTGAATGAGTGTGAGTATTATACCGGAGTACAGGGGAAAAACGAACGGCTACCCTCAACCTAGGGCTCTAGAACACTACAAAGACATCCTTTTTTGTACTGTATAAGCCACCATCCGCAGCCCATAAAAATCGCGAAAAGTCCGTTCTTTGCCACGTCATATTGCCTTAAGTCTTCACACAGCATCACTCGAGCGACCAACTACCATCTGATCAAAGATCTTTTCCGTGGGGTTCGCGGGTTGAAGCGACGCCAGGTAAGCATCCTCATAAATTCCCCAGGCTCATCCTTGATGAGATGCGGCATACCGATGTACAGGTTCTTCAACCAGCGTGGGAATAGAAATCTACTTTGTGGCCTTGCTGAAACCGTAAACAACCATTCAAATCTGTCATGCCTCTGTGTCTGGAGTCTGGGCAGCTGTCTCACCATCCCAACCGAGATATATGAGGGGTAAATAGTCCGCCTAACACGATGCATTCTCCGCTGGTTGGCAAAGCATGTATGCACGAGAGGAAGATGCACAACAAAGAGAGAGTCCAACCATCCAGTTGGGACACCCCTAGATGGGTGCTGTGTATCAGGCTCGGTTTGAGAATTTGATCCCTCCTCTGGTCTCCTCTGTTGGGCAGACTGGTCAGTATTTTCTGGATTTCCAGCTTCATTAGGCGCAGGTTGAATGTCCCTTGAGCTCCCGGCTTCGGCTGGGGTAGTCTGGTGAGTATTGATGTCTCTCGAGCTTCCAGCTGTAGCGGAATTACTTTGGAATCTGCTCGAACCTCCGGCTTCTGCCGGGTTAGATTGAGTGTCCCTTGAGCTCCCGGCTTCGACCGGAGTAGTCTGGAGAGAGTTAACACCTTTCAAGTTTCCAGCTGTTGTGGGTGTGTTCCCGAATCCTCTAGAACCCCCAGCTTCTGTTGATGCAGGTTGAACGTCCCTTGGGCCAAGAGCATCGGCCGAGGCAGATCGGAGAGGATAGGTAATATCCACTGAGCTTTCAACTCTTCCAGCTGTACCAGGTATATTTGGGAGACTCATCGAACTTCCGGCGTTCGGTGTAGGCCAAACATTTCTTGAACTGCCAGCTTCCGCTGCTGCAGTCCGGAAACTTGTACTTCCAGTCTCAGCAGATACTGGTTGAGCAATTCCAGAGCCCCTGGGCTCAGTTGAAGCGTTGTTACCATTTGCGGGGTGTCCAGGACTTCCCTCTGGTGGAACATCTGCATAGGTTTGCCTTGGCCGACGGGGGTCAGCGGTCTCTGCATAAGATGGCAGCTGAGTCTCCGACCGCGTAAGGTGTTCCGGGTCAAAAGCTCTAGCAGCTGTGAGAACCATTACAGGGAAGATACGCTTTGAAGAAGAACAAAGGCCTGAGTGGCGTTCGATCCAACAAACTTGACTTTAATCAGCACAACCTTGCTAGAAGAGGATGAGAGGTGTTTCTTTGGCTTGTACTCACTTTCTGCAGTGACGTCCCTCCAGTTGATGAGTCTCACGTCCTCGCAATCGTACGTGTGAATATTGGTCACTTTAATTCCAGGCACATATTCCGGAAGATGTGTAGTATGTCTGTTCTTCCAGTACTGTCTCATATCTTCAAAGGTAGCATTGCCACGACTCCTCTTGTCCTTATGCTCAGATTTCCTGCCAAACCAGTCCTCTTCAGCGTCGTGCGGAATCTCACCCCGGTGATCTCGTAGTTCGTCCAACCAACCTGGGTCAAGCTCCCTGAAAGTATGATGGTGGGAGAAGTAACATTTGGCACTGCAACCAGGAGAGCGTCGTGGTCTGGGATATCTCTCGCCGGGCCTTGTAGATGGACCCCTTTGGAAAAGTGCTCGGAACGCATCGTCTAAGGCCTTTTGCAAAAATGCGCCGAACTCGGGGGCTGTTACATTGTATAATGTCCTGAATGCAGCACAAGGTGGAAGCTGAGCGGCGGTAATTGGTCTAGGGTGCGCATAATCCGGTAAAACACCCGCGTGGGCTCGAGGTTCATCTCCGGGGTCAAGTCGAGCGAATTCACCATGGGTTCCAGTTATGGCGAGTCCAGGACCGGCTGCTGGAGTATGAAAACGTTGTGGTTGTTCACCTCGATAACGTGCCCTTCCCCGGCGCTCCTCTGGTTCGGATTGTCTTGACGAACGGTCAGTCGGTGCCTCGATGCCTCCAGATGCCAGAAAACTAGGTGCAGACACCGTTTGACTGCGTCCTTCCGCTACAGAGTGTTCTGTTTGGGTCGCTCTCGTTTCAGTGGGGGGCTGATGTGGGCCTGCAGAAATCTCTGTCTGGACTGGGTTTGAGGTGCCAGTATGATCAACGGGCTCTGGCTGGCTCTCTGTCGCCGTGGAAGATTCTGCCGGGGCGGGATTGCTTTCAGCTTGACGAACGGGCTCCACGGGGTGTTCCGTTGCCACTACAGAAGTCTCAGCCTGAGTTGGGTTCGTTATGCCCGTCAGAACAAGACGCTCTGATGGACGCTCTATTGATTCTGTAGGGGGCTCAACTGGTGTGAAATTTGTAGCACCAGTTTCGGCAACGGGTTCTATTGCGCGATCTGGTGCTAATGCAGAGGTCTCTGTCTGGGTTGAACTTGTGCTAGTCGGATCAATAGGCTCTGATGGAGGTCCCATTGCTTCCGTAGAAGACTCTGCAGGGATTGAACTCGCGACATCAGCTTGAGCAACGACTTCTGCGGAGAGCTCCGTTGCTGCCATAGAAGGCCCTGCCTGGGTTGGGTTTGATATGCCAGCCTGTAGCCCTGAAGCATGCTCTGTCGTATCACCATCCCCACGAGGCTGTGGTTGTGCAGCAGAAGAGTTGGTCGGTTGCGATGTATTAGCAACATCACCTTGCTCTGGTATATTTGAATTTCCTTCTTCATCAGAATCTGGCGGCGGAGGTGGGAAAGTTCCGTACTGTACTGTCTTAGACATTGTTTGTATAGAGAGGGTGAAGAGAACTTGAAAACAAATAGAAACTGGGTGCACGACAAACTGCAAAACGTGTAATGAAACGAAGGACAGGGGCAATCAAACGAGAGTCTGGCTGGTCAGTAAAATATCTATAACAATATATATATATAGACACCAATCTGAATCAACGAGCGTGGACCGAGGAGAGAAAAGAAAAGGAGAAGAAAAGGAAGAAAAACATTGAGACCGAAAGTTTTTTTCTTCTAGTTCTTTGCTGGCTGGGAACAATAACAAAACTAGCCAGAAAGAGCCACCGGAGCGCAAAACATCAGGAAACACAATGGAAGAAGGGAAAGAGCCTCCCTAGAATGACGTATAATCGATGACTTATATATATTCAAGAAGGCGCTATCGTGGCCACAGGTTAATCGTACAGGCGTTGCATATTCGTTATTGTATATAAATTGGGGTATCACTGTTGAAATTGGAGCTGCATGAAAATACTTGTCCAGTACTGTTTGCAGGAAAGAAAAAAGGATGGCATATAAGAGACGGGCGATTGTTATACGCTCCGCACTCCCGGCCCAACGCTTCCTGTGTTAAAGATCTCGATCAGTCCCGCACCCAGGGCTTCTTCGAGGGCCCATTGGAAGTTCAAGCCATGGAGCTGTTTCCACTTGTTTGTTCGGCCAGGTAAGACACCCGCAAACTCCCCGCGAATGTGCTTTGCTACGCTAGCCCTAGAGTTTAGCTCAATAGAACCGTCCCACCGGTCACGAATCAGGTAGAGAGGTGCTTCACTGTATCGAGATTTCCTCAGTGTGTCTAGGATCTGGGTGCGTGCAGATCCGAGAAGCCTGAGGTAAGGCCCCATATTAGGTAAGGAGAGGATCATTGTTGACCCTCTTTCACTTGTTGAGTGGACAGCACGATTTGCGGAGGGTGAAGTCGTCGAGCGACCTACATTTATGTAACCACTCTTGGAGTGAGACGAGGCCGTCACCAGGAAACCTGAACGAACAAGTGCAGCTGTTTCCTCAGCAGAGAAGAAACCAGCAGGGGCAGCAGGGGATTTGGTTTCCTTCCGTAGAGCCTCAATGAAGCGGTCTATGCAGCTGTTAGACATAAAACAAGAATATATATCAAACAAAAAAGCGGCAAAATCTCACCCTTCAACACATCGTCCAGCGAAGTGCTATTTCTAACCAACTTCTCCCAGTCGTCCAGCAGAACAAGACAGTCGCCGAGTCCATATGTCCCATCTCCACGCCCAGTTACAAGCAGCCTGCGTACAACAGCTGAGTCAACCACCTGTACAATCTCTCGTTCGACCTTTGTAGGCTCGTCGAGCAGAACATGTACATGTGCCACAGACACGATCGGAGGCAGTGACTTTCTGAATGCCATGATCTGTGCTATCCGCGTACTATTCATGCCTGATCTCCTTTCCGGTATGGCACTGAACATGGTGCTCTGGATATGCTGGATGGCCTGAGTCACACTGCTGATGGCGATGGACTCCGTAATGACCCTCGAAGGGCCCAGGTCCGGCAACGCCTCATCGAAGAGGACATCTCCACCGGTAGTACTGCTACCGGTACTATGTCTCGAGGCGCTCCTACTACTTTCCTCCGTCTGGTGAAGGTTGGCTGCGAGCTGCTTGCCCTTGCTATGAAGCGCAGTCGGCGTAGAAGCTGCCTTGGCACGGCGAAATGAGGCAAAGGGGGTCTTCTGCCGCGATGCTGAAGTCGGCTTCTTTATGCGAGATGAATGCGCAGCCGTCAGATTAAGTGACATCACCGTCTTCTGGCTGTTTCTATCCTCAGTTTCTCTGCGTCCTCAGAATCCTTTGAATCATCTTTTTTTTTGTTCTTCGCTTGACGTTCTTTTAGGCGTTTCTTTTTTAAGGTTTTATATCACATGACACATTATGTAACTTATTAAAGTTATTAGTAATAACTGAATAATACTCACGTGATGTCATTTATACCTAGGTACTCCTTGGCATTTCCCATCCAAAAATACATAAATCGTTCATAAATCAGTCATAAATCCATGAGAATCCAACCGATACATCAAGGCGAAAGAAGAATAAAACGATCGCAAAGAAGTGCGGGAAACCACTAGAAGGATAATATTCCTGGTAAATAGTGACCGTCGAGCCTGATTCGATGAGTCTAGGTTCTCAACTCAGGCTGCCCACGCCCAAGAAGACCCCCGGATGTAGAATCAAAAGCAATATCAAATCCGAGTATCTGCCAGGCAGAAGCCTGGAGACGTAGCCAGAAGTCGCTGTAACGAGTTATTCTATCGGCTGGCTCAATTAGTAACTACTTAGCCGACCAAACGTTACCATATAAAAGGGGTATCAAGGCCGTCCACTCGTAGTTATTCACCAGCTGCAACGTCAACGCCAGCATCAACGCAACCAACACCAACACCAACACCAACAACCAGAAGCATAACCAGCAGCATAACCAGCAGCATAACCATTGATTTCTGCCCTGCCAACCTGCTTCCCCACGTATCCTATCCGGGGGGTATGACGTAGGTAGCACTGGTTTCAGGGTTTGGCCAGAATCCAACAGTTTCAGCAACCCGCAGGGCAACAAAAGGGAGACGCAGCGCAAAGTTACGTCCATGTGCGCGACCCGTGGTTCGCCTGCAAACTCACTTGCACTGCCTGATTGATTAATAGCCCTGGCTGGACTCGCAGCTAGTTAGTTCATGGTTGATCTGGGATATCCGGGAAACTTGGTGACTTTCACGTTACTCGACGGCCGGCATCGACTTCCCCAACCTCCATCATCGCCAATCCGACTCGGCCGCAGCGCTCTTCTTCGCTTCTTCGTTCACCAGCGAGCTCGATGCCTGGTCCTGCTGCTGTCCGGCGAATTGACACTGCTGTGACCTGAAGGCGTCTCTTTCTGCTTCGACTGCTCGCCGTCGTCTTGGTGGTGCTACTGCTCGCTGCACCGGCTGCCCCTCTCGTGCGCTCAGTGGCTGGTTATATGGAGGGGTCAGCGTGCGGCCGGGAGACACTCATATATGCGCCGACAGAGCCATACCAGCTGCGACAATGACGATATTTATCGTTTCTCTGTACGTTTAAACCCGTGGTTGATGTGTTTTGTTTAGAGCACTCTTCGCTGACCGAGCCAGCTTTCTGCCGCACACGATCGACTTTGCGCTGCCGGAAGGCTACCAGCGCAAGGCCTCCCATCACCACCGCCGCAAGAGCTCTGGCCAGAGGGCTACTCTCTTTGGACGCTTGCCAGGCAGCCAGACGGCCACTCCTACATCGGCGTCAGCGTCGACGTCAGCATCAACATCGACGGCGACGACAGCGACAACATCTGCTGCTGCATCTAACCATGCGTCCGGATCGACCGTAGCAGGCCGTCGACCGTCTAGCTTAAGGGATCAAGGACGTATATTCTCGTGCCCGGACTACTCCAGCTCCGGTATAGAGGTTACCTCTCAGCAACCACGGCTTCTGGCACCTAGCGACCCACACTCACCTCGCTGGGGCTCTCCGGGGGCTTTTAATCAGCCCAAAGCCCAGGCTCTTGCGCCTCCGTCATCCTCCATTCTCAACCATGCACTCGGCCAGGAGTCTGCTTCAGAGCTGTCAAGGACTGAGCCTACGGTTCTGCCTCCTTCACCGGTACGCCCGTCTATAGAGCCTGGGTCCCAACCAAATCAGGAGAGTGTATTTGAGAGCGCAGAATGGACGGTTCAGCCTTCAGAGCAAGGAAACGGTGGTTTGTTAAACGCAATACGCTCAGCTGTTGATTGGCCATATATGAAGGATAAGCTATGGGTTGGTACACTGGGGATGCCCACGGATGCATTGCATGAAAAGCAAAAGGAGGCTATAGCTGAAAAGCTGGCTGCCGACTACGAAGCGTTGACCATATTTGTCTCGGATAACGACTTTGACAGCCATTACCTACACTTTTGCAAGATGATCCTTTGGCCAGTGTTCCACTACCAAATACCAGATAACCCCAAGAGCAAAGCTTACGAAGACCATTCATGGATATTCTACCGCCGTGTTAACTATAACTTTGCAAAGGAGCTTATCAAAAACTGGAAACGAGGAGATGTGATCTGGGTGCATGATTACCATCTCCTCTTGGTACCTGCCATGGTGAGGAAGGAAATACCCGATGCACAGATAGGCATTTTTCTTCATGTTGCATTCCCCTCCTCAGAAGTGTTCAGATGCCTCTCCGTCCGTGTGGAGTTGCTCAAGGGGATGCTCGGTGCAAACCTAATTGGTTTCCAGACTCAGGAATACTGTCACCATTTCTTGCAGACTTGTAGTCGGTTGCTCAATGTCGAGGCTACAAAGGACGGTGTACAGCTGGAGGATAGATTTGTCAACGTCGGCACGTTCCCCATTGGAATTGACCCTGTCTCACTTGATATCCGCAGACAGTGCGGAGAAGTCAAGTCCTGGATAAACATCCTCCAGGAAAAATTCAAGGGCAAAAGACTTATTGTTGCTAGGGATAAGCTTGACAATGTCAGGGGAGTACGTCAGAAATTATTGGCATATGAACTCTTCCTCAATAAATACCCTCATTGGCGAGATTCAGTTGTTCTCATACAGGTAGCATCTACTACTACGGAACAACCAGAACTAGAAGCCTCTGTTTCCGATATCGCGACACGAATCAACTCCGTTCACTCCAACCTTGCCCATCAACCGCTTATTTTCCACAAGCAAGACCTGCTTTTTGATCAATATCTTGCTCTTATTTCTGTTGCTGATGTTTTCATGGTCACGAGTCTACGTGAGGGAATGAATCTTACCAGTCATGAATTTATCCACTGTCAGGATGGCCTACTCTCATCGTCCAAACACGGCCCATTGATCCTCAGTGAATTCACTGGCAGTGCATCAATATTCAACTACCACCCCCTCCTTGTTAATCCATGGAACTATCAAGAATGTGCAGATGCAATAAATACAGCTCTCGAAATGTCTCCCGAGACTCGCCTAGCACAATGGACTCGTCTCAATACTACTGCAAAGGACCATGTCACGACCCGGTGGGTAAACAATTTCACAGAGGCTCTGGACCGTGCATACCGCCAGCATTCCACTCGTGAAACAGTTGCCGTCCCCAGGCTATCGATTCCTAATCTCTGCAATGCATACCGTACATCTTCCCGTCGCCTCCTCATCCTAGACTATGAAGGTACCCTGGTGAGCTGGGGACAACCGACAAGTACTGTCCTTACAACTCCTCAGCGAGCTATCGATACCCTGACGGACCTTCTCGAAGATCCCTTGAACACAGTCTACGTGATGTCCTCACGTATGCCAGAAGACATGGAACGCCTCTTCAGCCGCGTTCCCGGCCTTGGCCTAATAGCTGAAAACGGATGCTTTGTGCGGCCGCCCCCCATGTTATCTCCAACGCCTTCCCCTCCAACGACAGGCACATTTGTAACCTCAAACTGGATCCGTCTCATTGACATGACTAAGATGAATGACTGGAAGCTTTCTCTTTCCCCTATGCTTCGTTACTTCCAAGAACGTACAGAAGGAAGCTGGATTGAAGAAACTCACGCGTCACTGATCTTCCACTATGAGCGAGCAGAGGACTCGCAAAGCGCAGAACGTCATGCGTCTGAATGCGCAAATAACGTCAACGACAGTTGCGGCAACCATAGTCTAAGAGCAATACAGATGGACGGCTGTGTTGTTGCCGGGCCTGTGGAACCAAACAAAGGTACTGCAGCTAATGTGGTGTTTTCGACATATACGAGGAGAGAGTCACGCAGAAGCTCCAGCGCTGGTAGTGCGAGTAGCGCTAAACAGGGTATGGCTATTGAATGGAAGAGTGAGACAGAAGACAATGATGAAGATGTGCCGGACTTTATCCTTGTGATTGGCGATGGAAGAGATGACGAACCCGCATTCAGATGGGCAAATGAACTTGGCGAAGAAAAGAAGGTGAAGAACGTCATGACAGTTACGTTAGGATTCAAGAACACGGAAGCCATGGCCACTTTAAATCAAGGCGTTACCGGTACGTGTACTTATTCAACCCTGCGCTTTTTCACTTGCCTCGCAAAGCTAACATGAGATTTCTGTCCATAGGAGCATTGTCATGTCTAGGAAAACTGGTTGATATATCGCAGCGGAGGGATTCGGCGTCACTTGCTCAAAAGCTATCTTATATCCCGGCGTCAAATGGAGAGTGAACTTACCCCGTCAATCCATTGTCCATTGTTTGCTTTTATTATATCCTTAGTTATATCAGAATATGTATTCTACGGATTGCATCGCTCTCTTTTCCTCCGTAATAATGTGTATAATCTACTTGGTAAAACCGCTTGTTAATATGAGTTAATAGATGGTCCGCCTAAGTTGAGTTTCAATCAATTAAAGACTTATGGACTAGAGGTACTAAAGCGGGTCATCTGAAGCGCAAGGAAGACGACTGTTGCGGCTAGCATATCGTGTTTGCATTTCTCCTGTAAGTTGATGAATTTTGTATGACATAGGGGGTCCACCGGGGGGGGATAACGTGAAGGGGATGTGCCCTCCTTGTATGTTGTGAAGCCGGCCAATTCGGCTAGGTATATAACTAGGGGGGTTTATCCGAATATGGTTTATTCAGATGCGGGAGTGAGCCCTTCTCTCCTAACCAGCTTTCCCGCTGCTTTGCGAAAACGGTCTAGGGATAACTGATGGACGTCGTCTGCGTTTCTTCCTTCCGATAAGCTGTCCCCCAGGATTTGTCTTCGAGTTACTGGGATAGTTTGAGCAGCTGAGTTAGCTGGAGCTGGGAAGATAACCTAAGTATTCCAATTTAGAAAAGTATCCTTTAGAAAGTCCTGGGATATCATAACTACCTCACTCTGCAACAGCTGTGAGCCGATTCCATTCTTCCCATGGGCTTCAAGAGTACCCGTCACAACACCGTTTGCATCTTTCGACCACTTTGCTAAGAAAACAAGCTGAACTTGAGGCCTTCCACCTTGCAGCCATAAGTCCTTGTCATGATGGAGTTTAGGTACGGACTCCTGCCACCCAGACTCAAATACTATGCTCGGAAATGTTTGATCATCTGGGAGTATGGCGAAGTCTGCTTCTATTCTTGACGCTGAGTATGGAGGCTTGAACCCTCTGAAGGCTGTTCACTGAAATTTAGATATAAAATTAAAAATGTATAAAGATGGGTGATGCGCTATACATACTCGGTTTACCGCAAAATGAAATAGAATCTTCTTCAGATTCGTTTAAGAATCCAGAGCGAATCATTCCTGTAGCTTCCCTATGGAGCCACGAGGTGTGCGCTTCATACACAAAGGTTGGCATAATTGTGATATTAATTGTTAGAGTGAAAGAATTGTAACTGAGCCTAACACGCAAATTAATTAAATGATCATTCTAAACAACGCTGGAGAGGCATACCGAGGACATGAGTTTTCAACGTCGGGGTCTTCGCCCAGAGTATCAATTACCAAAGCTCCAGTTTCAGGAGGGATGTTCTCAAATATTAGATCCTTATGCTCTTGAGACTCTAGAATCGCACTCCGTATACCAGTAAACAGCCTTTGTGGGCTAGGTACTTGGGGCGACGGCGGTACGCTGCCTCGCAACAGGCGTGCTGGAACCGCATCGTCTGGCTTTGTTAAGTTACCCATCTTTGGAATCGAGACAGGTAAAAACGGAATGACGCCTGGTCATAGTGTTACTACTGCTAATTCTCCGCAGTAGTAACAGTCATTTATGTTGCTGAAATCGATGAACTTGGTGAAAAGTGGCGATTGCCGGGTCACTCCCTGGTTGACTGAAATCTAAAATCTAGAATCAACCAATAATCAAATCCGGTGTAACAATATTGTTGAGGATACAGCCACGTATTATTCCGTTAGCCTGGGGCCCTAATCCCTCTGATAGTTATCCAGCCATCTGTAGGATGTCCTTTATGATAGTGCTAAGTATTATTAACCATCTAGTTAAACACAAACTGCCTCTGTAACGTTCCTCTTTTCTGTCTTTAAACCCTTGTCGCGGTAGAGTTTGGATACCGAGGACAGGCGCTAGTCTGTCCATTAGGTCATGGTACAATACAGTCAGAGGGAACTTCTCAAGCGATATGCTATAGTCGATATCTTCTGATTAACCCGTGATTAGTGTATTTATGTATGGATATTGACATTGTCTGTATATCGAAAGTGAGAGAAAAGGAATTATAACTAGTTGATTTCCTGACTAGAGATTTGAGCATGATAATCACCACATAAGCTGAACAAGAAGGTTACATTACCTTCGTAGAAGTGCTTGGTATCTTAATCTTCATCCGGATACTTTATTAATAGAAGCCAAGCTTAAGAGACTAGCTAGCTCTGTATCCTCTTAGGAGTCTAGAGACTGTTTTCGAATAGGGGTAAATATGTAGCAATATTGATAACCCCTAAATTTGTATATAGTATTTTTCCGTATAGTCGAGGGGGGTAGGAAGAAGAAAGTAAAAGAGAATAACAATTGATTCTCGCGGCTGATTATAAAATATTCCTTACCAGTGAATGATCACTGCTTCAATAGGTACGTGAATATCCTCAAAGTACGGAGTGACGTATGCCAAGCGAGCTTCCCGAGGAACCATAGTAGCTTAATTTAACGGCCGCTGACATAATCAAATTTCGAACATCATGCCACCTGTGGACCTCGTTGAGAAATTACTCCCTCAACAAACCAAAACAAAGACATCACAGCTCAGAATGTCCTTTTGGGAGGTTCACAATACCATACAGAATACTGCATGAGTTAACCTACTCGCATATTCACCATTTCGCAATGCCTAACATCAGATACAAAAGACGACAGCTCACAGAGTCAAGACCTCTTGTAGCAGTTGAACGAAATCTTATGGTACATATCCCTTGAACACACATTGCGTCCGATGACCCATCGAAGACGGTTACATTAATTAGACAGAATGCTGATTGATGGCTCTATGGCCTAACAGAGTTGAGCAGAACTCGTGCCTCTCCAGAGGACACCCAATCGGAAAGCCTTGATAAGGAAACCTACGACCTTATTGAGCCCTCGACTTTTTCAATCGGGCCTGGATGCAGATGGCGTTCTGGAATACCTTTGATTCGACGCTTTGGTGGTTTCGGTAGCAACCACCGCCAGAACTACCGGCCGGATAGGCTGACGAGGAGGCAAGAACGGTTACCGATCTACGATGAGGGCGATTAAGCTCTCTTATATACAACTGCTGCTACTGCAAGGGTCACAATCAGCGAGCCTGTCTGATAGTTAGTGAAGCTGACGGCAGGGTGCTGGTACTACGGCATTGACACGGGCAACCCTGACTTGTCATGGGGTTATGCCTAGCCTACAACCCACCCGCCGACAATTCAACTCGCCAAACTTCCATATCAGCCTGATAGATCTCGAGACGTTTCTCTGAAAACTATGAATCGTCAATATTGATCACGAGTAGAAGCCAGGCACCACACTTTGCTGAGCCCTACGATATCACAGCATGCTTCGGAAGGCTCAGCCGGACATTCGATGCTGAGCGGAACGCCAGGTTCGGAGCGTAACAATATATACGCACAGCCTTCAAGTGACGTACTCGAGCTCCTTTGGCAAGAAAATACGAATGTTGTTTTAGCTCGCCGCCGTCTGGCAGCTTAAAAAAGCTCGTTACCAAACCACGACTATGACTCCGTGAGACATCAGCCAATGTTTCAATGACTCGGAACGCCCCTGGAAACGAGACTGGAACGAGACGGAGATACTGCCTTGGTCGATTACTACAACCATCAAATGAACGGTGTAGACCTAGCAAATCAGTATAGAGAGGGCCATGGGGCTCTTAGACTAAGTCATAGGATTGGCTTCCTCTCTTATACTGGTTTATCGATTTTCGATCAACCCCTATCGCATTCGCCGTACTGCTGCAAAGGCGAATAGTGATATACCATCTGTTATCGACCTTCGTTCCTGGGAGTAACTCTACAAGTAAATCTTTCATTTAATAGAAAGATCACATACTGCACTCCCCATCCAACGTTTTAACGAGCCCTTTGAGAATATATAAATTTTCCTTTACATGCCGTGGTTGCCTATATTTCAGTCTAAAAGGCAAGGCTGTTGAGGAATAAAACCGGCTCGGAATAGCCTGCTAGAACACGATATAGCTGCAGTTTGAATAAGCTGGTTTCTTACGGCGACCAGCTAGTTTCTGGCAGGACTGGGATTCAGGCAAGTGTTGGCGCTATGCATTGGGCCTTGCTGTTCCCCAGTTCATAAAATAGGCGTTGGAATTTGTTACACACTTTACCCTATATACTATATTACACTCCTACTTGATACATACGATGTTCTTCACCGAGCACTTTCTATATGGCTTGTGCATAGTCTCGTCTTCAATATCGGACTGTGGGCCTGTCAGTTGATTTTACCTCAAGCAATATTCAAACGATTTAAATCTCCCGGCCGCGGGAATTTCCTCCTGATCCTCTAAATGCATACGTAGTAAAAGTTTCCGCTATTAATTATATATCAACAACATTAAGCTTCACTACTTTTATTGCTTCGTTGCGTGTAGTTAAATACAATATGAACACTCTCTAATGAATCACCACACCATCAGCTCCTGCGTGACAATAACTATGGTGCAACTGAGTGTAGTTATTGAACCAACGAAATAGCCGAGGCATCTCGGCGCAACCAAAAGTCGCTTTACGAGCCCTCGAGCTAACTTCCGGCAGTGTCAGGTTTCTCGTCTCAATTTATTTCTTCTTCATAACGAGCCGAGTTCATATCTAGTTCCCTTTTATGTTCATTAGGCTGTCGTTTTGAAAGGAAGACTCGGCGTCGATTGCTAGACAAAAAATGGCGACAACACAAGCGCAGCCCGCAGCGAGCTTCGCGGAAGCCATCGCGATAACTCCCCTGTCATCCCATACGTACTCTGCGAACCTCCGCACGGAATGGTGCATCGGGACTGGTATGTATCTGTCACAGAGCTCTGGGTTATGCCGCATGGATTACTTTTGTATTAACTAGAACGCAATAGTTCCTCATGGCGGTTATGTGACCTCCATCTTTTACGCCGTGGCCCGCAAGCATATGAAAACCACCCATCCAACATACCACAAAAGCGCACCGGATCCCATAACAGTATACCTCACCTTTATACGCCGGACAAATATCGGTTCTGCCCTGTTCACCGTCGTCGACACGAAGTTGGGCTCGCGTACGTCAACGCTACATATCACACTCAGCCAGCAGGATCCGGATGGGAACCGTCGCGAAGAAGTAGCCGGATACATCACCGTATCACATATAGCTAGTGAAGAAGGGCCGAGCATAGAGAGAGCCTTCGCATTGACTCCTCCTGCGCCCGCGGTGGACCTCAAGCAGCTCGCCAGCACTGGCCGGAGCGGCGAATGGAATGGGTTCAAAGTGGCCTTTGGTTCTATGCGGAAGGCCAGTCGACATGTTGAATTTTACGCACCTTCTACGTCTGCCATGGTTTCCCGTGGGTTTGTTGAACAATGGGCTCGATTCGCACCTTATGGAAAGGTGGAGAGATGGACAGATGAAACACTAGGGTTTCTAGCCGATATGTTCCCTATGATGCTTGAATCGTTTGACGATAAGCCGTGGGATAAGAGGTCGAAAGAGGAGAAGGAGAAGGAGAAGTATGCTGTTGGTAAAGATGGCAAGCTAACTCCCAAGGGCAAGTTCTGGTACCCGACTATCCTGTTAAATTTGGATGTCAAGAAGAAACTGCCTGCTGAAGGGGCAGAGTGGCTTTATTCACGGGTTCAGACGAAGAAGCTACATAACGGCAGGATGGATTTGGATGTTATTATCATGGACGAGAAAGGTGAGGTTGTTGCTTTGAGCAATCATGTTGCATTGGTTATTGGAGCAGAGAGAAACCTGAGTGCGAGAAAGGGCAGCGGAAAGCCCAACGGTGAGAGCAAGATATGATGATATGACGTTCGTTTTGAATAATTGTAGATATATAGATGTGATTTAGACGCAAAACGACATAGATGTATATACAGCGCTGGCTACGTAGCAGACATACCTTTTCCTACTGTGGATCTAGACACCCGTTACAGCTATATCAAAGCTTCGAGTCCTTCACCAGGATGAAGAACCCCACTGCATCAGCACAGACATACTTCTTCTTTACCCACTCAACCTTCTCGCCATTGGGTTTTATGGGATTTTCTTCCTGTACTAGCTGAGCTCTAACCCACCACTTCCGGCCCTCGTTGCCAATACACCACGTTCGCAGCACAGCATGAGCACCAGTCCTCACCGGTCTCTTAAACCGTACATCCAGTTGCATGGTAAACAGCTGACCGAATTTGCTAGTATCGGCAAAGTCGAAATCGGGTATATGTGCAGCTACACTGATGGCCATCAGTTCGTCGAGTAGTGTAGAAATGATACCGCCATGAACGACCCCCGGGTGGCCGTTAAGGTCCCGTTCGCCAAAATAGAGCAAGTTGACCACATCTGCTGGCTGGTTTGAAGGGATCTTTGGCCATTGGTCTGGTGGGGCAGGGAGCGAGGGAGCGCCGGACGGGACTTTGGCGAGTTGGCCTGGTTTCCGCTGGAGGGTGAGGAGATGCGGAATTGTAGTTGGTGTGTTTATTATGGTTGCAATAAAGGCGTCTTCTCCCGTCTGAGGCTTTGGCTTGCGGCAGTAGGTTTCGATGGGCTGGTAGGCGTTGTTTTTGAGGAGCGTGCTCGTCCAGTTATTGGCTTGGAAGGCTGCCTTTGTGGCGTCTGGCACGGTGTATGGTTTTGGAGCAGTCATGCTGGGCTCTGTCTCCCGAGTCTTTAGTCGACTAACTAGCTTGTTGGGTTGTCTTAGACGGAGCAGCCGTGGTTGGATATGTCGTGGGTGAAGTTGAATGTCGACGTCCGAGCAGCCGGAAGGGCGATGCAGCTAGTTAGAACCGAGGCCAGGGACAGACGTCTTGGCAGTAAACAAATGTTGAAGACTCGCGATGTCTAGCCGGTAGTTACTCTTCTCACCTCGGCTAGCTGGAATATATACACCCAATACTCTGTAAAATTAGCCAGTTCACCAGCGATGCTGTTCCAATGCTCTGTATACGGTGGCCTGTCAATAGTCATGTCCAGACTCCAGGCTACATCCACCCTGGAAGCTCGGTAGTTCGCTCAGTGTCACCACCGGGTGAAAGGAGACAGAACAGCGCACCCCCGTACTCCGTAGTATAGACAGATTAATATCCCATTTTATAGTCCTAGAGGACCACTCGGACACGCCCTCCGCTTTATCGTCGCTTTTCGCTCTCGCTAACCCGCATTCTCCCGCCAGAGGAGGGCCGTCAGCCGCCATGGTTAATTCAAGCTTGATCTTCGGGCAACCGGCCCCATCTTGGCGCACACAGCAGCTCTATGCTTCGTTTCCAGGGCGATAGAGCTCCTCCAGCACTCTTGTCTGTGTGTAGATCTATGAAAAAAAGCAAGCTGGATCAGGTTCTACCCAACAAAACAGCTCTTGTGTCTCGCTCACCGTCAGAAATAGCCGCTGTTCCCGTCTGATCTGGCTCGAGCAAGCAGCCATGAACCAGCCATCGAGCACAGCGACTGGCCATGCCGTGTGCTCCCTGGAACAAATGAGGCACAGAGCCAGTCCGTTGTAAAACCAGACCCCATCCTGTGCACATTTGGTGAACCCCCTTTTGCAGCGCGGGAGGCCACGGCTGTTTCGCAGACACTATTCCCCCCCCGCCAGAGCGCTAGCCCTGCTGCTAATTGGAATAAATAGTCCGTGTTTGATGTTGAGTATCAGGTTTCGGCGGAGGAGATTACATCTTGGGCGGGCGGCTAGCTAGTCAAGCAGCTAGCTAAGGAAGTAGTATGTAGATAGATAGCGGAGAAGCAGAGACAAGCAGAAGAAGCAAAAGGGACTCGGGTCTCTGTATAAAATTCGCGGGCGACAAAAGTCACGGGCGCTTTTCCTGTTTAGGCAGTCTGCGATCCTCTTCTTGCTTCTTGTTTTTTTCATTTTTTTTCCTTCCTCCTCCCTGCTTGCTTGTTTATTTTCTTCGTCCTCACCAGCTTCACTTCCATCTTCTCTCCATCAACTCTCCGTCTTCCTCTACGGCTTCGTCTGTTCTTCTCGACCGATCTTCTCTGGTAAGTTGATGGCAAGCAAGTAGACGCGCTGGCTGCTGGCTCGACGCTGACTCTCTCTCTCTCTCTCTCTTTCTCTCTCGACAGGAGCCTTCACCACAGCTACGGACAGTTTACAACAGCAGCCACGATGTTGTTCTCTTCTCTCGTCGTCCTCCCCGTTCTCGCGTCCACTGTGACTGCGCTCGGCTCGAACTACACTGTTCCTCCAGACTTCAACGCCGGAGCTATTTCTCCCGAAGAGAAGGGTGCGTTGCTCTGACCACTCGTCCCAGCCGGACTGGCTGCTCAATTGACCTGTATACTGATATTGTCTATAGCCAACTGGTGCGAGGCCGAAGCCAACACCTGTAATGACGTCTGCGGCTCCTACTTGATCAACAGATGCGACCCGGTAAAGCTCTACTCTCTGCTGTTTCTTTATTTCTATTCCAGAGTCGTATGCAAGTTGCTGACGAAACGTACAGAGCACTCTCGAGTTCTCCTGCCAGTGCCAGAACGGCACCGTCCCCCAGATTGACCAGTACAAGAACTCTCTTCCTTGGTTCATCTGCCAGGCCACCTTCAGCCAGTGCATCAAGGCTCACCCCGACGACGCTGATGGCCAGCAGGTCTGCAAGGACAACCAGGAGAAGTGCGGCAAGCTGGACGCTACTCCTCCCGGTGACTCTTCTACTACCTCGGCCAGCAGCGAGCCCACCGCCTCCTCTACCGGCAGTTCTCCATCTGCTACCACCACTGGACCTGCACCCACTCACACCAATGCTGCTGCCATCATGGCTGCTAAGGACTACTCCCTTGGCATCTTCGCTACCGTTGTCTTGGGCGTCTTTGGTATCCTGCTCTAGAGAGCGATGGGTGGTAGATATCCTGAAACCAGATTAATTATTCCCCTCCCCTTTTTTTTATTATTCCCATGTTTCTTATGTTTACTACACCACCAACGAACCCCCCTGGTCTGAGTAATGGGCTGTTTTGCATGTCGGAGATGAGCAGTTTTGGGCAGCATGCGGTTCTTGCAGGAACTTTCGGCGATTCGACTGATTATTGGCATGGTTGGCACACCCTTGCTGATCGACAGCTTCATTTCGCGCCGAACCTCCAGGGTCGCTGCTAGTCGGAACTCCTCTTCTCCACTCTGCTTTCTTGCTATTTTCCCTGTCTGTTTTTTTCTTGTTCTCCAGCGTCGAGCAGGCAACTCTGCCACGATGATGTACCTACGTGTGAATGCGAATGATACCGATGTCTATCCCAGTTATTATATTCCACCGTTAGAGCCAAACTGCAAAGCCTAAAAGGGGGTGCAAAAAACAAATATCAAAAGTAAAGCCAAAAAAAAAAAAAGGGAAAAGAAAAAAGAAAAGTGCATCGACCGGGAATCGAACCCGGGGCCCGTCGATGGCAACGACGGATTTTACCACTAAACCATCAATGCGATTTTGTTGGAAGAGAGCTTAGCTAAGGCAGCACAAGTAGGGATTCTTAGTCATCATCCTAGTTACATGAAAGCCTGCCAAGACTTCCACACAAGAAAAAAAGTGCGTAGAAAGTTTATCGAACATCGAAAGTCGTTAAAAAAAATATCCCACCAGCCGGACCAGCAGGACAAAACACCCTCGCGCTCGACGTTGACACCGGCGAAGGACACTGAGACTGCGCATATCTGGATAGTCGAGGGAACGGACAAGACGGAACGTGAACGGAGAAGGGAAATTTCGAAAGGGAAAAAGAGCACGAAAGATACCAAGGATGGCGACCAATACCCTCCTGATCGAGGGTTCGTTCGATGAACTCGCTGACGAACTCGCCCGCTACATTGATACGATTCGCAAGAATGTCTCCGCTGCTTCGGCGACCCCAAGTGCTGAGGTGACGTCTGTGCATGCTGAGATTGCGCAGCTGCTCGAAAAACTGAGGGAAAAGGAGCAGAGTGAGGAGGAGTTGACAGAGGAACAGACAAAAGAGATTCAGAATGAGAGGACCGAAGTGCTGAAGAAATTGGTGCTTGCCGCTCCGGTGCTAAATGGTGCTCCTGAGAAAGGTATGATGGGTTAACTTCTTTTCAATGTTTCCTTTCCTGCTTGAAAGGAGGACATTCAAGAATGCTGACTGGGGGTAGAAATCACCGCTGCATACAACCTGCTGGTCTACCTGGTCCGTCAATCAAGCTCGGTAGACATGTTCTTGCCCAAGATCTGCGCATTCCTGGCCAAACCAATGCCATCTTCACCGCTGCATGGACCTTCCATCGCCTTGTCCATCCTGGCAACCATTTTCAATACCCTGGACGCAGATGACTCCAGCAGATACCATGTATTCCTTGCCATCATGGCCGTTATCCGCAGCACCTCTTCCGCACTCGCCTTTGAGGCCCTAAAGACTCAGCTTTCTAACCAATTGCCCGGCTGGATCGAGTCCTGGGACCTTGACGAAGAAGAGACCCAGAAGCTGCACATGTCCATCTCAGATGCCGCCAGGGCTGCCGGTGATGCCGAGCTTTCATACCACCATCTCATCCAGGCACTACACGCCATACCACCCGCTGAAGCTGCCTCCACTCAAGCTCGCGAAATGGCCGTCCGATCTCTTACCACTGCTCTCTCCCTCCCATTCGTCTTCGACTTCACCCCTCTAACTTCCAGCGATGCCGTCCAAAACCTTCGATCCACCGATGCTTCCCTTTTCGAGCTTCTGGAACTCTTTTCTACCGACGATCTCGATGCTTATGAGGATTTCGTTAAAGAGAACCCCATCTCCTCTATTTCTGCCCTGGCTTCGGTCAAGACCATCTCCCCCGCCACAACTACATCCTCTGCTTCAAGCGAACCACCATCAGTGGAAACTATCCTACAGACCAAAATGCGTCTGCTCACCCTTGCCAGTCTTGCTGCAAAGGCTCCCTCTCGCTCTCTGCCCTACAACGACATTGCTGCTGCTCTCCGCATCGAGCGAGAGGATGTAGAGAAGTGGGTTATCGATACCATCCGCGCCGGTCTTGTTGAGGGAAAACTCTCCCAACTCAAAGGTGAATTCCTTGTTCACCGTGCTACGTACCGTGTCTTCGGCGAGCGACAGTGGGGTGAAGTCCAAGGTCGTCTCATGGTATGGAAGCAGAGTCTGTTGAACGTCCTCGAAGTCATCCGCTCCGAAAAGGAGAAGTTCAAGGAAGCTGCCTCTGCTGCAGCTGCTCCCGCCCAGGGATCCGCTGAAGCTGATCGATTCTCATTTGGAGGAGGAAGAGGAGGCGGCGAGCGAAGGAGAGGTGGCCACCAATCACATCAACATCAAGCTAGGGATATGGAGTTGGTTGCCGGTGGTGACTAAAGCGCTCCTTTTCCCTTTCTACCTTCCCCCTTTTGTTTACTTTCCTACAAAGATTTGAATGTACTGGGCGTTTTTCGTGCTTGCTTTTAATCACTTCTTCTTCCCTTCCCGCAGTTTTCTAACCAAATCACTTCACCCGTGGTTTGATCTTCCCTTGACTTCTATGCTTCTTTTTTGCTTTCATCCCCCGTGATCGTGGAAAGGAATTTAATAGATCAAGCTCGCTGTTTTTATAATGTTGAGCATGAGCATGAGCACAAATGAGTATGAGAAATGAGGATGGGAAAAATATAAAAGAAGAATCAGTCAATTTTGGATTGTAGTCAACCTCTAATATAGGTCGACCAAGCTATCAAATCTCTATCTAGATCAAGATCACTATCACTGATAGATTAGTAAGCAATTAGGGCTAAACCCTGAGTTTTTTTATATTACATAATAATTCAATATCACATGATTCACTAAACCGTTTCAGGTGTAGTCTCGCTAATCGCTGCTCTGCGAGATCGCCAAAAATTCGATGTTGCCAAAAAGCGCACAGAAGAAAGAGACCTCCATCGCAGCGCCTTGAACTCACGCCGTTTCGACCTACACGGAATCACCAACTCACCGTCAATATGACCCACGAATCCGTCTTCTACAGCCGCCCACGAAACTACGGCAAGGGCAGCCGTCAATGGTACGCTCCTAAAACCCATGCATCGCGATATCGAACTGCCAGGATACATGTTTGGATGGAAGTTGGTTGGATATAGAATATATTGCTAACGGGGACCCTTTTTCTGTCTGCAGCCGCGCTTGCGCTCATCAGGCTGGTATCATCCGCAAGTACGGCCTCATGATCTGCCGTCAGTGCTTCCGTGAGAAGTCCAAAGATATCGGTTTCATCAAGGTACGACATATCAATCACTCGCGGCAAAGCCATGAACAAAACACTCATGTTCTCCAATAGTACCGGTAAACGACTCGACCAAGCTGATGTGTCTTCGTTCCTGCCACCTTCGCTCTGTTCGGTTTCTAAAATACATAATTCGACATTCCTGATCTACCTTACTTCGAAATCGGATTGCGCGCCACCCACGCAAACCAAACTTCATGGCTTACAGGACGAATGGAATGGGGTGGTTGGTTCGAGTTGAGGGGAGATGAAATGGGGATGGACGGACGTTGGATGTGTATGGGCACGGGCGTGCGAAGAGAACTTCAATCGGAAACCATCTGATGCATATCCTCGTTCTCCAGGACCTTTTTTTTTAACGCATATCATACCAATCAAAATATGGATACTTGCGGAGTTTCTTCTTTAGATGGGTGGTTTCAATCAGACCTATTCTTATCGATGTTGGTTTATTTGTTTATGGTGGACGTAGCATGGGTGTTGGGCTATATATGGGCATCTCAATCTTCTGGGGTTTAAGATGACGTCCGGCACCCTGGAAGGGGTTTGACACTCCCTCGTAAACTCTGCGACCGGTCTGGTGTAAACAATCTGTATATCCAATCGAAGGTACATGCCGCTTGATTTGATGATAATGTCTATTAAAAGGAGTATTTATGTCTAGAATAAAAATGGAGGGGAGAAAATCCACACCGCCCGCTTTGCTAAATGACAAATTTTTGGGTTGCTTTTTCCATGTTCTCATTAGTTACCCTTTGGCTGCACGATGCCACGGCTCTCTATCTCCTTGTGAATGCGAGCAGTAACCTCAGTCTCGGTACCAACTGCAGAAACACTCATGACCTTGCCCATCTTCTCGTAATAGTTGACAACAGGCATGCTGGTCTCCTCAAAGACACGGAATCGCTTCTTAATTGACTCGATATTATCATCGTCACGGCCGCTGGTCTCTCCGCGCTTTAGGAGACGGTCCAACATCACGTCTTCCGGGCAGGACAGGAAAAGAGTCCCTGCCGAGGGACACACGGTTTCCTCGAAATATATAGCTTGATCCATTTTGCGTGGGAATCCGTCAATGAGAAACCGTGATGTCTGTTCTCCGCTGTTCTCGCCCTTCTTTTTCTTCTCCTCGAGAATGGCAGCCATGGCGTTGGAAAGGAGGGTAACGGTGATTTCCATTGGCACGATGATTCCTTCGCGAATGTTATGTCGAATCAAATCACCGTACTGACTTCCTTCACGGTCCTGCTCGGCCCTAAGCAAATCACCCGCGGAGAGATGGGAAAAACCATAGTCCTTGACGAGCTTGGCAGATTGCGTTCCTTTCCCACTACCCGGGCCTCCAAGCACAAAGATAACGGTCACTTCATCGGTAGAGAAACGAGGAGAGGTGTTGGTCGATGTGAGAGGTGGCGTGAGTTCGGCCGATAACTTGGCTTCAGCAGGAGTGCCAGACTTTGGCATCTCACTTGCCAGGTTTGACATCCTTGGGCGTGCGAGACTTGATCAGAAAAGCGTATACGCCGCTTCCAACTGCGAGGATAGCAAGTATGGGGAGAACCTTGATCTCTGAGTTATTTCGGTTGCGGTTTGGAGGAGGAGGAGGCGGGGCGGAGGAATATGCTCGAATGAAAGGAGATGATGCAGCTTCCTGGCCAACTGCAAGGCGGGGTGGTTGACTTCCGCTAGCCAGGCGAAGGACGTGACGGGCTGCCGCAGAGCCAGATGTAGACAGGAAAAGGGAGCGCGAAAGGGGCATTCCTAGCCAGTGTAATCAATTGACTGGTCCAGCACCAACTTCTGAGATCCGTACGCTTTGTATCCAACGACACTCTTTCTTCTGCTTCTTGTGGTTCAAATGTCGAAGATGAAGAAAAAAAGGGCCAAGCTCTCCTAATGCGGACTAGCGTTCTCTGTGGTTACATCAAGGTTTTAAGCATATTTGCTTATTCAACTTTAAATGCTGACTAAGCTGGTTCATTCGTGCGCTTGTCCATACCTGGGGGAAGGGAGAACGACGGTACGAGGCAAACCCCAGGTGGACCACAAAGGGTTCTCCAAACCATTTGTCCTTCCACCCGGAATGCCAATCGAAGCGCCCTTACTGGCTCTGCTTCTCCACGCTGAAGAAACCGAGTCTGTGGACATGTGCTCCTGGGGTATCCCCCGCTGAATTCATCTCAGAATTATCTTACCCCAAGGTATCGTGGCAGACGTCATGTGTCCATCTGTCCATCGATCCCATATCGTAGAGAACACGGCAATTGGCAGGCGATATGTACACTACCCGCTTTCCTTTCCCGATTAAATTAAACGTTCCCGAAATACGGAGTGCTTCTAGATCCGTGTCCTCGTAAGCAGTCGCCCGATCTCGCTCCGGACCAGCGCTTGAACCCGCTCAAGGCCGAAAATTCTGGAGAAGCCTGTTTGGGTACCTGACCCCTGTCCTGGGTACTAGCTCTTAAATGCGTTCGGTGCGCGTCCCACGCCTCATCCTTCATGAGGAAGGCGATCAGGGGATTGGTTGGTTAGTGGACGCGAAGGACTTTAAATACCGGACCGCTCGCACCGCAATCCTCCTTCCTGGACTTTTTGACTGTTTGGTGCCCTTGAACTTGAAACCACTATGGAGAAACATGAGATAGAGGAGCCAAGCTCTATTGAGCACCTAGACGACCAAGTCAAGACCATATCTCCTAAGATAGAGCTTGAAGACCCAGATGCTCATTTGAGCCCTGAAGAAAGACAGAAGCTGGTAAGAGATGTGATGTCTATGTTACGACCCATATAGTATCTCTTGCTAAGAGAAGTCGATAGGACAGAGCACTTCTGTGGAAGCTCGACCTTAGATTAGTCCCTTGGCTTTCGTTGCTGTACCTTGTCAGGTTCGTCAAAAACAAAGCTTGATCATTCTCCAGGCACTTATTGATATCTCGTTAGCTTCCTAGACCGAACGAATGTCGGAAACGCAAAGCTTGAGGGTCTCTTGAAGGATCTTCGCCTCTCAGATGGCCAATATGCGGCAGCTTTGACCATATTCTTTGTTTCTTATTCCATTTTTGAACCGTTGACCAATATCTTATTGAAAAGATTAAAACCTAGTCTTTTTATTCCAGTTATCATGGTTGTCTGGGTATGGTTGAGCTAACAAGGTCTCTTCTTTAATTGACACTAACCATTATTGCCCCTAGGGTATTTGTATGACCACTATGGGCCTTACTAAGAACTTTTCAGGTTTCATGGCCGCGAGATGGTTCCTAGGATTCACCGAAGCGGGACTTTTCCCAGGTGTCGGCTACTTTTTATCCTGCTGGTACAAACGAACCGAATTCGGCATTCGAATGGCTATCTTTTTCTCTGCGGCAGCGGTGGCCGGCTCGTTTGGTGGCCTACTTGCTGCTGCAATTGCAAAAATGAATGGAGTTGGAGGCAAAGCAGGCTGGGCTTGGATCTTTATCTTGGAAGGCTTAGGTACAATCGTCATTGCTATAGCATCATTTTGGATGGTGCAAGACTTCCCGGACACTGCAACATTCTTATCTGAAGATGATCGGAAACGAGTCCTATTGCGTCTTGCAAAGGACAAGCAAGCCAGTGCTGGACATGAGGATTTCAAAATGGAATATTTCTGGGCTAGTATAAGAGATTGGAAAACTTACGTTTCTGCTTTCATATACGCTGGATGTGTTGGGCCACTCTATGCCTTTTCGCTCTTCCTCCCTACCATTATCAAGGAACTAGTAAGCTTTTCACCTCCCTTTATCTATGAGTTTACCCGGCCATGGTATTGACACACGCTGACCTTTTCTTAGGGTATATATCCTCGAAATCCAACGTTTTGTACAACTCCCGGCTAATCTTTTTAGGGTATAAATCAACAACGGCACAATTACTCTCAGTTCCTCCATATGCTGCAGGGTGTCTTTTGACCATATTAATCGGCCTATTCTCTGATCGTACAAAAATGCGTGGGTTATCCAATATTGGCGTATCACTCATTGGAATAGCTGGGTTCAGTATGCTTCTCGGAGCCAAGTCCCCAGGGGTAAGGTATGCTGGGACGTTTCTCGGGGCGATGGGTATCTATCCATGCATACCAAATACGATATCGTGGGCCAGTAACAATACTGAAGGTAAGTTTCCTTTTTATCCTGTTGTATCTATAACCTTACTCCTGACATTGATGTATAGGAGTATATAAGCGTGGTGTCAGTCTTGGTTTTATCATTGGCTGGGGAAACCTCAATGGTGTGATATCTTCCAACATCTATAGGCATCAAGACGCCCCAAACTTCTTCCCTGGGCATGGTATCGTACTAGGGTACCTCATTGTGTTCCTTTTTGGTGGAAGTGTGTTGCAGCATATACTCCTGAGAATTGAGAATGGGAAGAGGATTCGAGGGGAGCGAAATGCTTGGGTCGAAGGACTTGATGAGTATGGCATCGAGATGCTGGGCGACAAACGGCCAGATTTTATATACACGCTCTAGACACTTGGCCAATATAACTAGTCAGTTAAGACGCTCGCAAACAACAATAAGTTTCTTATGCTTGGGGGCTGTAGACACGCTATTAAATTGGCCTCTCTCGTTCTTTATAGATTATCTGACGTTGAATCAAGCACAACGTGAATGATGCTGGCATTTACCCCTGAGCAGGCCAGTAAGTGTGAACATGGCAGCGAATAGATTAACTGGTCATATGCTATAGCAGCAAGTTTGCACGCATGGAGTTGAAGAATGATCTGGCTGATTGTCAGGATATATATAGACGAAACAACAATCAAACAATAATCACCGTAGTTCCTACACTTTCGCCACACGATACAAACACTCCCGCGCCCGTCGACTACGCACAAATGATCAACGATACACTAGTTAAGTGAACGTGTTTGTGTTTGAACCCGACTCGAGGACAAACGGAACGTCCATCCAATTACCGATTAATTACTGTCTAACGCTCCGCTGCATACAACCTTCTAGATCAGGGCTGATCACTCAAGGTCTTTCTACCATAGGCAAGTTAGGTAACTTGTATGTTAAATGACTATTTATGGCTTCAAGGCGCATCATGTATATCATGATACAGGATCAAGAGACAAGTGCCCATGCGTTTACTCATGAAAGATATTGCACTTATACCATGTTCAAGGCAGGTGCAGATGAAATAGTCGCAGCATTCTAGTCTTACATCAGGCTTAGCCATGTGAATTGAATGAATGGGGCGAAAACGGACACTCCGTAACAATGCCATGCAGTTAATCATCACGAGTCACTTTGAACAGTCGGGTGTTTGGAACTTGTTTCCCCGCGCGTGCTGGCAACAATAATCCAGGAAGTAGTTGACTGCGGCCGACTGCAATTTTCGCTCTTAGATCACTAGCCTTACCCTTGGACGTTGGTTAGCAGACAGTATCCAACATTTATCAACGATACTTAGTTGGCCTCCCTTCGAGTTACAAGCGAGCGTGATGGGTGATCATTCCTGGTCAGCGGGATTTGCTCTTGTTACCCCGGAAGAGCTATGCCTTGTCAGCTCATGTATTGATTAATTGGTGCGCATCCATGGCTTGACAGGGAGACTTAGCAGATTGCTTTTATATTTCGAGGTCAAGTCCCGACATTCTGGAGAACGAGGATGCAGTCAGACAATCACATTCCAATTCACTCAATTAATTACGAGCAAGAACCTTGAAGAGAAGTTGCATGTAAGTACATATGCAGGGAGGAAACGATGCATGCACGAAGACTTCTTCAGCAGTGCAGTGGCGGAGTGTCCCGCGATGCCTGTAATTGGGCCTTGCCTTCTTCATGCTGTGGTTTATTTTTGGCTGAAGGAGAAACAGTACCTGCAAGATACTTCCATTCACACAGAATTTAGCCGTAGATAAAGGTATTCTAGAAGTATTTATAGAACTGGGGCCGTGCTCCACTATTTTTAGCGCCCTTAAATTAGGGTTGTGCTCTCAGCCAATAGTAGCCCGGCGGGGCGATCCTAAATGCAAAATTCGACATGATGATTGGCTGGGTAGATCCCGTCGGTCTAGCCGCACTGGTCTTAGCGTGTGACGGAATTTGCATCCATCACGGCGAAAATCACCTGCGCTGCTGGCCCATCACATCGACCACAAGCACATCTGCATCCTCCCTGCATCACACCAGCCATCCCAGTAGTCGACTCTGGCTTGTCATTCGACCGCCATCCCGGCCTCTCACTCAGGATGGGCCCTGTAACCGCTGGGCGGCCGCCCAGGACCGCTCGCAACGGACCAAACAAAACGCATTCTCCGTTGTAACCGACTGTTGGACGGACCACGGCCTCACCACTCCTCGCTCTTCTTCGCACCACCCAGTCAAGGGATCCCTGGACCATCACGATCACAGCTTGCATTTCCGTTTTCTCTTTGTCATGCCTGGCCAATTCTGCAAATCAACAAGGGTGACTTTGCTCCCCTTCCATGCCCAGATCGACATTGTATTCCATTTCGTACAGAGACAGAGGCCATCTCTCTGGTGCTGCTCGGCCGCAACCCCCCAAGCTTGGAGTCCACAATAATTAGGTTCACGCCTCGACTCCCTGGCATAAACATACCCGTTGCTCAAGTGCGGGCGGTTAACGTGGAGAGCCTACTGGCTGCTTGAAATAGCCCAGACTGCCCACCCTCACAGGGTTCCTGGCTGCGATGGGCGCTAAGGATACAATATCTCACCCCCATCAGCTTTTTCTCTTCCATCTTCTCTTTCTCCTTCACGATTCTCTCTTGTGTGCTTCTTGCTCTTTCACCTAACTACACTGATCCTACGGCTGCGACTGGTTTCGTGCCTACTTGAGAGCAACTCTCCCTAAGCGCCATCTCTTTCATCTTTGCCAAAGACCACATCGACCAGGACACACTGACACCCCCTTTTGAAAGGTTCACATTTGTTCTGTACGTCGATCTATGCAGGCTGTCATGTCTTCCTTTGTCTTTGGTTCTTCTAACATGGCGAATGCGTAGGCCCGTCCTGTACGACACCAGATTATCAGCTCTCGTTCGGGCTGTTTCTGCTGAATAGGAAACCCTCCTGTTAAGCAGCCGACACTCGTCTCTTCTCCCTTCTTTACATATCTCTGGGATGTCTAGATTACATCCTAACGACCACACCGAGGGATCAGAATATTCGTTCTCTCAAGATCCAGTTACTCCTGTCGACGTAGTACAGCCGACTCGCAAGCAAATGGTTGGATTCGCTGCGCAGTCGACAACAATGGAAAACTCAACCCGCGACCCTCCTTCCGAGTCTCCCTTTGCCGACCCTCCAACCAAACCAGGTTCTTCGGACTCAAACAAGCAGCCTAAAGTATCCGATGTAGGGTTTGGCTATGTATCTGATAACCGGCCTGATAGAGATGCACCCGGTTCCTCAGCCAATGCACCAAATTCACCGCTCAAGAGTGCCATGAAAGTGCCCGGCACTCCTGGTCGGTTTGGAAATGCGAACCCGCTGAGCCCAACTTTTAGAGAGGAGCAGATTCTCGAGATTCATGAAAAAGATGCAGAGGAAGAGAACGCAAAGGATTTGGTATGTTCTCTCCTATCGACCTTTTAATTGAACATATTCTAATGTGCTTTATAGAAAATTAAAACACGAGTCCGCCTCTCGAAGATCTTGCTGCGTGGTGTCAATTTCTCCTGCAGTTTGATTGTCTTAGCACTGCTTGCCCAGTCGTTCCTTATTTTCCGCGCAACCAGACACCTGGAGAGCAGAAACGGACTTACACCCTGGGACCCAAATACCAACCCTTGGCCACAGATCCTCATTCTAGTTTTGACCTCCATCAACATGTTCCTGTCCCTTGTCGTGCTTTGGAACAATTGCCGTGGAAAAGAGCGTCGTGCAGAGAAAGTAAACGTATACTACACTCTTTTTGCCGGCGGCTTCTTCGTCTTTACTGTCATAATGTGGGTTATAGCCGCTGGTATTCTACAGAACAGCAAGGACAGTGGTAATGGTAAAGATCTTTGGGGATGGTCTTGTAAGGACAATCAGCGAGCCACTTTATTCAAAGAATTGGTTGACTATGCTCTCGTTTGCCGCATGCAGGTATGCAATACCAGCCGTCCGAACTACTCACCGCAACTGAATTCATATATTAACATTTGATTTTAGGATTGGACCCTTGTTTGCATTATCATTGAAATCGTCGTTGATACCATCACGATTGCTATCTATGCTGTTGTCTTCTATCGCTTCTACTCCAAGCGCAAACTACGCAAGTCAATGAACGTCCGTGACAAGGCCAGGTCTGACCTGTATCTCGCCAATCTCCGTGTGCAAACCGCCCCAAATACCCCTGGGTTTGCCCGAAGCCCAGCAATGAAACAAAACCCGTATTCGGCTGCCGAGAACGGACAGGCCGAATATTACCAGCCCCAATATGCCACTCCAGTCAACACCACAACTAACAAACCGTTCCAACTCCAGCCTCCTCCTTCCAGGTCATCCAATAGTATCCACAACGCACCTCGGGCTGAGACACAAAGCCCTGCTCTCGAGCCTGGCAGTACCGAACGAGTCAACCACCATGTTGCTGTTGCTCCTGGGGAACAATCATATGGTGCCGTGCCAATCCCCGAACCCTACAGAAGCCCCAGCTTTGCTCCTCAGGGAATGACACTGCCGAATACTCCTGGTATTGGCGTAGCGGTTTCATCAGACAACGCTTCTCACGCCCGCAACTCGTCAAGATGACCCAGTTATGTATCACAGGCAGCAGCCTGAAAACCGTCTGTTCTTGTACTTATCATCTGTTATCCCTTTCATTGCTCTTCCTTTTGTTTATGCATGACTCCTAGCCTTTAATTCTCTCTTCACGCTCTCTAATGTCCGTGTTTGCTTTTGCTTGCCATCAATCTCCCAACTACCTAAATTCTCCTTGTCTTTGAAATACCCCTTGGGCCCTTCCAAGAAAATGAGGGCTGTGCGATCTACTACTATCTTGTTTCTATTATTTCTGATATTTTGGAGTCGAATAATTTTTGTTACCTTTTGGGCAGAGCATGTCCTATAACGAGGCATGTGAAGGAGTGAAAGGGGGAAAGAGTGGATACATATGACGCCCTATGTGTACACTCTGTGAAGATTATGTTGACTGTCTTTGAATCTGGGCCTGGTATTGACTATCGGCTGAAGTCCATGTGGTTAAGTTTATTTAGCTATCTACCTTATATCGAAGAAATCTTGATCACGGACCCGTTTTAGATGCTCCTTTTCAATGTTTAAAGACATAAGGCGTTAAACCAAGAATGATAGGAAGCGTCAGAATCGTACTATGGACCTTTGATGAATGCCATTAATCAAATTGCCACTGTTAATTTGTGTCACGCCAAGTAAAATAAGAACATTGCATGATGCCCCTTGATAACAACAAAACTCCAGATGGAAAGGAAGGCACAATCATCTCATGTAGGCCGAAAATATATATATGCAAGGAGTAAATAAATTTCATACGCTCATTCTGCCAATACTATGCATCCCCTTCTATAACAGCACCAACGTCTTTTGTCACATATATCTCTTCAAGCCTACCCTCCCAGTCATCATCCATACTGCCTCTATTCTTTAGCACAAGGCCCTGCTCATTGGCTAAATGTAGAAGGCAAATGAAACCATAGGAAGTACTGATATCACGCATTGCTTGTTCAGGATAGGACTCCTTCAAGCCATTCATTACATCAGTAAAACGAAGGCTGTTCTTGAGATCTTCCGATTCCTCGTTTGGCGGGGTTTCCCCAGCAGTCGGTTCCGGAGCTGGATCAGCGGGGGCAGTTGTCGATGTGACCGCCGCTGAAGGAGAGGCGGAATTGAAAGACATTGAAGCGACCAGACGCTCGCCCATACCTCTCCACATCACTTCCTTCAGACGACGTACATCTACCTTCTTCGCTACGCGAGCATAATTGACGTATTCTGGACGCACCCTTCGGCCACCTTGTGTGACAAGCTGGGAGCCATATCCTCCTAACAGAGCTCCACCCGGGGTAGCAACGCTGTTCAGCAGCGCGTTAAGACCGGTCATACCACCAGACGCTGTCGAAGGTTGTGCATCCGAGTCTAACGGAGGAGAGAATGCCTCTCGAGCGTCTGCAAAAGGTATGTTATCGTCCTCGTCATCATCACCCATCGGCAGGCCGTGTGGGAACGCAAGACCGTCATCATCGGCAAAGAAGTTAGCGTCGTATGTTCCTTGGGCAGCATTCTCTTCGTTCGCTGCCTGGTCCATGCTTTGCTTTTGTGATGCCCAGAAGGCTTCATCCATTTCGCCGTTATTAGGGCCAGATGCATCGTGTTGACGGGAGCGATTGCTGCTCTTCAATCCACGCAGGCCCATCTTGGCCTTAGGTTTCAAGAAAAGACGAAGCAGCTCCTTAGAATTGAAATGTTTATCATCCGGCAATAAATTCCGCCCCTTAGTCTTCCACTGAGATTTTGGTAGCGAAATAGCGGAGTTAGAGCCTGAAGTAGCGTATATCATTTCGGCAATTGCAGGTTCTAGATCAGCAGCGAAGTTTATCTCAAAGGGTTCCTTTTCCTTGCGCTGTCTGGGGGCAGTAGTTGTGGCGGTAATATCTTTCATCCGTCGAATCTTCCAGTGCTCAGGACCGGCCCAGTCTTTGCGTAGAGCATTGTCGAAATAGCTTAGGATATTGTCATGGTCGTGTGCTCTATTCCCATGTGAAAGGGATAGAGCGAAGGGGTCGTTCTCAGTAGTATCGTTATCAAAGCCAATAGTTGTGTCGTTATTATCACCAGCTCCGATATTGCTGATGCGATGCACTTTTAGCATTGGCTCTAAGGCGGCATCTCGCGCCCATGCCTCACCACCTTGGCCGAATTCGGCTTCACCTCCAAGATCAAACCCTGTGATTGTTGCATCATCGTCGTCATCAAAGCCGATAGCAATATCATCATCTAATACGATGCCGGAAGCATCACCAAGACCTGGCTGCTCTGACTGTTGCTTATCATGCCTCCAGTCCTCAGGAGCTCGTAAGAATGGGATTTCGAGTGATCCGCTTGGGTCGCCTAAATCAAAATCTTTTAACGAGGGGCAGATATCATGGTCAGATAATATATCAAGGTTAGGGAAGAATCTCTCGGCTAAGCCACGAATATCGACGTCTAAATAGTCGTCGCTGGAGTCAGAAGTTGCAGGCCTGGGAGATGGGGACTTGAAACTGTCCTCTCGTCCATCTCCCTGGGTCTCCTCATTGCTTTTATTTTGGGTCTCCGAATCAGCCATGGTATTAGCATTGGCATCGTCGCTACTGTCAAAAACGATTCTTCCCTGGCCATCAATTGAGAGATGGTTTAAAAGAAGCCCCTTCGCACCACCTTCATCGAAATCCGCAGAAGCTTTTTTAAATAGGGGGTCCACGGAGAATTCCAGCTCAAACTTCTTTAGCTGCAGGGAAGCAAAAGATGGTGCTAGTGTGGATTCATGAGATCGAGCCTAGAAATAAGAGGGTAAGTAATTAGTATAACTCTTTAGGCAGGGTATTGAGATGGTTGGGGGGACGTATCAACATCGAATAGCTTACCTTTTTTCGGGTCTTTCTCCTGGTTCCATCCTCGCCCTCTTCACCCTCTTCTTCCTCATCTTCTTCGTCCCCATTCTCAGCTCCATCTTCTCTTTCGCCCTGACCCTGTTTCTTCTTATTCCCACTGTCTGCCAATCCACTGAGTAGCTTCCCTGTCTCTGTTGCAACACTGTCCACTCTGCTAGTATAAATCTTAACACAACCGTCCAGTGTACAACTTGCTTTTTGGAAATTCACACCGTCACCCTCCTTTAGCAGTGACATGTCATGAAAATAGTCAATAAGGGCAAAATTCCAGGAGTTGGCGGCATTGATTTTATTATCCGTTGCCATTTTCATCCATTCCTCAAAGTTGGCTAATATCGGAACACGTTTCATCGGCGTTACCGCCCGGCCGAGGCCATCGACGTCGCTCTCCCTCCCTCTGACTGATCCACGGGGCGTATGTGGGCTGTCGGATACTCCATCATAGGTATTGAATCGTCGCGGCGGCATCGGCGTTTTAACTGCCGCTTTGATCTGGTCCATCTGGAGGTCGTATTGTGCCTGGCGGGAGTGTAATCGTGCAACTTTTTCTCCGGCATCATCGTTGAGAGGCATTCTATGTAATATCAAGGCCGCAGCGGTTAGCACTTGGGTCACTCTTCTTCGTGGTAGTGCTTTCCCCCGCTTTAACGGATTATGTGGGATACTCCGTCATTTGCGCAGCCGCACACAAGCAACAGAAGTAAAAACAGACAGAGGACATACTTTCTAGGCGTGTTCTTGTGCGGCGTGGTATTGCTCGCCGGCTTCGAGCTGCGGCGGCCATGACGGCTCTTCACCGGGGGGTTTGCGACTCGAGGCATGGTGGAGTTCGCGGTTCTTTCAGAGGGCGCCGTATGGTCGGAGGTCAAAACGGATATATATTAGAAGAGATAGATAATCATCATGAAAATGCAAATACCCAATTAACGATGCTGTAGAAAGTCGTTTGGCAGTTAGTATTACTGTTGCTGTTTCGTCTTTATCAACGCGCTTTTTCTTTGCGGTCGTCGAAAGAAGCCAATAATAAACATACGGCGTGCGGGGGCGACCAGTCGCGCAGTTTTTGATTATGTAAGATGTTAACGGAGTTTCATTTATCCGGATGACTAAGATTTTCATGACATAATCACGGAAAGGTATAATGTAATGCCGAAATCTTATTATTAAGCACGACAAATAAATGCAAACTAAACAAACATGCCATAAATAATTAAAGAGTTGTCTTACGTCAGCTTAACTTGATGACATCAGAAAGCCAAAAACGACAGAAAAAGCAACATCGCGAAAATCGATCCGACCTTTGAACGTCACCAACGAACAGCCAAGTTGGCAGCGAGCAGGGATTCGAGCCATCTGCAGACTATCCAAGGTCCCCTGATGGAACAGGGGAGACAACGCTGCAGCCGTCACACGTCAGGGAGATAAAGGAACGGAGTCGGCCTGCGCCCCAAGTCTCTTGCATATGAGGACATCACCGCTGGTTCCTTATCGGCCCGTCAACCAAAGGCGCATGTACTCGCGTGTCTCCTTACCCAGAATGCGACCTTCAAGATGAGCCTTTCAAACGCACTTCTCGCCAGCCTTGCCGGTACCCGGAATGCCAGGAAGCGGTACTCAGCCCGTGGGTTCTACCTTGTGATATTGACTGTCCTTGCAGTGACCCTCGGAAGCCTTCTGGTTTCCCGCGGTAAAAGCGCCCAAGGTGGCCTGTTCATGCCAGAGGCAGTCAGGAAGACTCGAAGGTCGTTGGAGCCGGGCACAGCGAGCTGGGCGATACAAGATAATGGAAAAGAGGTACGTTTTGGACTCGGGGTGTCACCACGCCAATCTCTCGTTACTAGGTTCCGTAGCTGACGGGACCTTGAACCCATCCTATAGTGCCGGCTGGTTCACCGAGCGAAACACCAATGCGCCTTCGTTCGTGATAACTGTGAGGATGAGAATATTGGCCTCATCCCTTACCTGGAGTTTTACTACTGCGGGCTTAGTAGTGCGAAGCCGGTCGGTTTCTTCTTGCTCGCAGTATGGCTTGCGATGCTGTTCAGCACGGTTGGAATCGCCGCCAGCGACTTCTTGTGTGTCAATCTGAGCACTATCGCCAATATTCTTGGAATGAGCGAGAGCTTGACGGGCGTGACTTTTCTTGCCTTTGGAAATGGGAGTCCAGATGTGTTCTCTACATTTGCAGCTATGAGCTCTAATAGTGGCAGCCTGGCTATCGGAGAACTCATTGGTGCTGCTGGATTTATCACTGCCGTGGTTGCCGGCTCTATGGCGCTTACTCGGCCCTTCAGAGTTGCCCGGCGAAGCTTTGTCCGTGATATTCTATTTTTTGCGATAGCCGCTGGTTTTACCATGGGATTCGTCGCTGATGGCAAGCTTCATGCCTGGGAATGCGCGTCGATGATCGGATTTTATATATTCTATGTTATCATTGTCGTGACCTGGCATTGGTACATGGGCCGGCAGAGACAGAGACTAGAGCGTGATATTGCAGCCCGAGCCCATTTCCATATACCCCAGAACCAGGAGCTGGAGATAAACGAGGTGCCAGAGAACGATGACCCAATTGCCGGTGGCGAGAATCGTCCTCTCCTAGGTGCTACCAATGACGACTTTGGATCGCTGGAACGGGCAGATATCCCGACGTTGAGAATCGAAGATGAAGGGGAAGAAGAGGAGCGCGATAGACAGCAACTGGCAGAACTGCATGACAACATGCGAGTCAATCGACCACAGGCAAACCAAAGGATGCTTTCTAGTGGTGGTATTCGACCCAGTTTAGTTGGTGCTCTCGAGTTCAGATCAGTCCTCTCCTCTCTAGAGAAATCGCGCAGCCTCCAGTCCGGAAGAATCCACTTGCGAAGCTACTCTGATGACCCCTTTTCTCCTGCTAACCCAACAGCAGCTCGTCCAAGAGCTTCAACAACTCAGCGTCCTGAATTCTATTCTTATCATGATAACGACAGGTTTGGACAACATGGACTGTCCACCTCCGCCCAACCACGGATACTCTCTCATAGTCTGGATAATCCTCCGGGAGCTCACCTTGAGCATCAAGCAAACCTACTTTGCGCATCTCCTACTTCATCTGGCTATCCTTCTCGATCTCAAAGTCCCGCCCCGTCCATTGATCGATCCAGATCCCCAAGCCGACTAGCTCCCCCACGGACTGTATTCCAGCAACCAAGTTACGCATCCGGAGGTCCTACACCGTCTATTCAGTCCTCAATTTCCCCCCAAACCACACCTCCAGCTCATGGAAGAAGTTCTACTCCAACCAGCCCTGGGTCGTCAATTACGCCATTCCCCCCGTACACTGATGAAACTGGCTACACCCCCCATGGGCCCTCAAGCCTTCGATTTCAAAGATCGGCCCAATCTCTAGGCTCACAATATATCCGTGCACAGTCTGTAGGAACAGACATTGAGGTATCTGGTCCAAGATGGTGGCCACACTCATTCCCCATTCCAAGAGTCATTATATCGGCTCTGTTCCCAACTCTCTACAACTGGGGAGAAAAATCTTTATGGGACAAATTTCTAGGTATCGCAGCAGCACCTAGCGTTTTCGTTCTCACCGTGACTCTACCTGTTGTGGAAACAGACAGCTCCGAACCTGAGGCTATTTCTATCCCTGATCAAGGAGCAGCAGTCATTGTTGAACACCAAGTACCAAGTATCACTGTTCCCAGTTATCGTGACGATGAGACAGCTGAAGCCAACCCGCAAGAGCTTACTCGACCCTCTCTCAATCGCCTTCGACAAGATTCTGAGCTACCAGTCCACCCACCATGCGAAGTCCTTGGCAAAGAGGAGTCTCCCGTCAAGCAATGGAACAGATGGCTTTTGCTACTTCAACTATACACCGCGCCATTGTTTATCACGATAACTTTGTGGAACAGTCTTCGTCCAGAGCATGACCCTCACACACTGATTTTGCCGGTCCTCCTATCCCTACTCCTGTCTTCAGGCTTCGCTATAATACTTTTCCTCGCCTCTAAAGGCTCACGCAACCAGCTGCCCAAGCCACTTCGGCCATTCGTCGCCTTCCTTGGGTTCACTGTCGCCATAGCATGGGTTTCAACCCTAGCCACCGAAGTAGTTGCCCTTCTTAAACTCTTCGGTGTCGTTCTAAACATCAGTGACTCTCTACTCGGCCTTACAATATTCGCAGTTGGTAACTCACTCGGCGATCTCGTTGCCGACGTCACTATCGCGCGTCTAGGATATCCAGTGATGGCACTAAGCGCCTGTTTTGGCGGCCCAATGCTGAATATCCTAATTGGCATTGGCGTCGGAGGTTTATATATGACTTTGCAACCGATTCAAAACATGCAGTCGGCTAGCATTACCCCTGCAGTGTCGGCCACACTTCAGCCGTACCCGATTGAAGTGTCTAAAACTCTTATTATCAGCGCTGCAACATTAATGCTAACCTTGCTTGGACTACTTATCGTTGTGCCATTGAACAAGTGGCGCATGGACAGGAATGTGGGCTTTGGACTTGTTTCTCTATGGATTATAAGTACCGTCATTAACGTTGTTCTTGAACTGGTGTCTGTATGAGGTACGGCTTATGGCGTTTTCTTTTCTTTACTATATAGCATCTTGATTCCCATTCCTATTCATGGTATTATTTTTTCCTTATCTTTTTTATATCTATACTCTGGCATATACATCATTCAATATTTTCAACATTTTCCCCTGTTACACAGCAATAAAGGCATATATGCACTCGGATCCTCGCTCCTTGGTTAGACACATACAACTGTTCAGTCAATATTATATCAAATAAACCAGGGCAAATAGCAACGCTTGCGATTATTTTCACGGTTTATATCTACGCCAAAGTAGCTGGGCCAGAATCATTGACTACTAAACAAGTTTATTTCTCTTTCCAAGCAAAATATGTTAAAAGAAGCAGGTTATAGCGAGAGACGACAACGATGAAAACAAGAAGTACATTCACAGCGAAACTATGAAAGGATATCTCAGATACCAATCATAAGTTTGCTGGGCTCACGAACACCACCTTACAACACACGACCGGCCGATATTGCCGTGCTTCGGTCCTTGGTGACGACTTTCTTCAAAGCCTTTCCTGCTTGGATGTCTCCTAGCAATGCACCTCGTCCCATGCCCATGGGGCCACCGGGTCCGCCGCCAGGGGCAGGGCCTGGAGGAGGTGGTGGAGGAGGCGGTGGGGGTGGAGCACCGCCTGGCGGAGGTGGTGGAGGGGGCGGAGGAGCAGATGGAGCAGCCATATCAGGGAGCGGAGGTGCGGGAGGAGGCATGGATGGAGTTTCTTGTGCTTCTTGGAATGGTTCCTCGTCTTTCTGCTCCGTTGGGATAGGGGAAGCGGGCATTGGGGGTGCCGGGGGAGGAGGAATTGGGCTATGGGTTGGTTGTGGAGTGGCAGCCTTCGAATCTTGAGGCTCATCCATTGCGCTTAGAGGGCGTGGAGGAGCCATGGTTCCGAAGAGGATGCTGGCTAGTTGCTTAGCGCTGCCGCCAGCAGCACGGTCGTCGTCGTCAGATGAGTTCTCGGACTCGGCGACGGACCAATCATCATCTTCTTCAGGACGAGCTCGAGATTTACGCTCGAGTGGACCGGGAAGGGCCGCGGTTCCCACCGAGAAAGCTGATTTGGCGTTGTCTTGGGCAAGGCGGTGGAATGGGTTGGTTGACTGGGTTTCTGGTGCTGGTGGTGCCGGTGTCTCTGCAGCTGCGGGCTCGGAAGACGACTGGCTGAGTTGACGGAAGTAAGGGTTCCTTGACTCGGTTTCAGGAACGATGGGCTTGCTCATGACTGGATGGATAATAGGCTCAGGGGATTGAGGACGGAATACCTGCGTGCCATCTTCCTCTGTTATGATTTCAGGGATATGAGGTGCTGGTGGTGGCCGTGCTACTGGTTCTGGTAGGGCAGGCGAAGGGATTGTAGCCTTTGGCTCCTCCAGGACTTGGCTTTGGGTAGGCGTGGTAGTATCCTCAGGGGTAACGAATCCAGGGCCTTCATCATCTGAAGAGGATTCCTCATCTCCAAGGCTCTCAAGCTGTCGCTGCAATTCACGCTCGCGTTCTTGCGCAGCTTCCAACTCAGCTCTCTGAGCTGCAAGCTTAGCTTCCTTCTCCCTGGCTTCTTGTTCTGCCTGCTGCTTGCGGCGTTTCTGCTCCTGTTTCTTGATCTTGCCTTGGCGGACCTGCTCTTCCAAAGCCTTGAGTCGGGCCTGAGCAGCTTCTTTCTCACGAGCAAGTTCTTCCTCTTGTCTCCTAGTCTCGTCCCTAAATTATGGGTTAGAACTGCTAAGCTAGTACAGATTCTTAAATAATTGACTTACTCTAGTTGTTCCGTCTCAGCCTCCTGAGCCTGTTGTTCCTGTCTAAGAGCGGCTTCCTGCTCTTCCTTAGCTCTGATAGCAAGGGCTTCCTCCTCGGCCTTCTTCGTCTCATTCTGCTCGGCAGAATCCGATCTGGCTTTGCGAGATGGAGGAGGTGGTGGAGCTTTCTTTGGTCCAGCCTTTGCTGGTGGAGGAGCAGGGGCCTGCTCACTCTCTAGCCTCCGCTGTCTCTCTTGTTCGCGCTTAGCATCCTCTTCCTCGGCGCGTAGGCGTCTTTCTTCCCTTTCTCGCTTCTCACGTTCTTGTCGTTCCATGAAAGATTCTCCAGCATCAGCTGGCTTGAGACCAGCTGCAGCCATCCGTTCAGCAATACGTCGCTGAGCTCGCTCCCTGGCAGCAGCCACTCTTTGCTCGTGCGTTGTTCCGACAAGAGATGGCGACTGAGATGAAGAGCGAGGCTCAGGACTTGGTCTGGATTGGATCTCAGCCTGGCTTCCATATTGGTTTGCACTAGAAGCTTCACGGCTCGCTCTCTCTCTCTCCCTGTAGATGACATTTGTTAGCCAGGAATGATGTATGTTGTAAAGTAAGGGGGTTACTAACTCCTCTTTTCTGATCTTCGCTGTCTTACGATTTCGCTGAAGGTCATATATGAGGTCTCTGATCTGATCTTCAACCCCGAGGGCTTCCTCCCAACGCCGTCGCTCATGTTCACGAGTAGAATTCTCATTGTCACCCTTAAGACTATCCTCAAGACTGGCAGAGAACTCCTTGACGCTCTCCTCCACATCCCTAGTCATGGCATCGTTACGCTCACGTTCAGAATTAATCTTGCTTCTTTCCTCTTCCAATCTGCGAGCTGCAGCACCTTCATCTGCAGCGGCAGGGGCAGGTCGGCCAGCCAGTTCAGCAGCTCTGGCTTGCATCCTTGCACGAGCACGGGCCTTGATACGATCACTCTCAGTGATCGCACCGCCTGGACCAGTGCCGATGATTTCCAATGCACTTCCTGGGTGTTCTTTTGCATCCTTCAGCCTGAAAAGCTCAAGCCTGCAGTCAGCAATAGCTCGTTCAGTCTTGCGTACATTGGAGGCCAGCTCTGGAAGTTGGTCCTGATAAGCCTGCAGCTGGCGGCGCATGCTACGACGCTCAGCACTAGAATCCAGATTTCTAAGCGAGGCCTTTGGATCGGTGTCAATGTCATCTTGAACTCGGCGAATTCTGTCCATGAGAGACTCTGCCTCCCTCTTGTCCCTGCGATCCATCGCTTGCTCTTCCTCGGCATGGCTCTCGTCTCTGAAATCCGTAGCATCAAGCATGATCTTGGTTTCTCGGATTTTCTTCTTCAGTTGCTCGACGGACAAGTCGTCGTCAGATTTCTCTGACTGCACGGAAGTAGCCGGTGAGGGAGTCCGGCCGGCACCAATGCGACGACGAGCACTTGACTTGTATCCAACGGCATCATCGTTGTTCTTGAAGACAGTGGCGTCTTTCCTTGGATAGCCAGCGCCACCAGATCCAGAATTATTAAAGGAGTGAGTCTTTAAGTAACTAACACCAGTCTTCTGGGGCTGCAAGAATGCGCCAGAAGATTTCCTAGCTTCTGCATCCTGGGAAAGCATCGACTTGACGGCCCCAATGGAATCGTTAAGATTCCGAGTTGATGGCGGCACAAGCTCCGGAGGAAGTCTGTTCGGAATTGGATAGCCGTTAAGTTTCCTGTAAATAAGATGCATGGCCACGGCAAATTCATCCTTATTTAGACGGCCTCTATTATTGGGATCGGAAAGGGTCCAAATCTGTTCTAGGTGTTGACGTTCCAATCCACTCTGGCCCATAATCTCAATGGCAACATCTCCACCAATGAAACCCTTTCCTAAACCATCCCAGGCACGGAAAAGCTCATCATAGATTTTCTTCTCGTCCTTAGTGACGGCCCATGGAATAGTAGCATTTCCAGCGAGTCCGGCAGTGGTAAATGTACCGGTTTCCCTTCCGGCCTGTGGCATGAGTCTCTGCTGGAGTGCTTCAATGTTAGGTAATCCTGTGGCTGGTGCATTGACAAATCCCCACTGGCCAGGCATCCCTGTCGGTTGGGCGGTTAATGGGGCAGCACCACCGGTCTGACCAGGGGTTAGTCCAGCAGTGAATGAAGCTGGCATGGGTGGCATTGGTGGTCGGGGACCTGAGTATCCGGTGGCTTGGGGGTTTTGCGGCATGCCAGTGACCTGGGGTCGTAGACCACCTGGGAACCCTGTTGGCTGGGGTTGCATAGCACTGGGTGGTTGAAAGCCAGTAGCCTGGTTATAGAAACCTGTTGGTTGGGCAGTTAATTGTGAGAGAAGCTGTGAGTTAGAGGGTTGCTGGGGCTGTGGTTGTTGCGGCGCAGGAGGAGCGGAGGTATTCTGCATCAATGGCTGGTCAAAGTTGGGGGCGTTTGATCGGGGTGCCTGTGGTGGGTGATCGTCAGGCACAGCAAAGGAGATGATGTCGACCATGCTTGAGACTTCATTCTTGATACGATCGGGTAGTGTAGCAGGTAAATCGCGACCTGTTATTCGGAGGTTGCACAGGTACATGGCCAGCGCAAACTCTGGAAACATAAGACGGCCGGACTTGGTAGTATCTGAGAGTACCCTATATAGCCCAATCAGCCAAAAAAAAAGCCATTGTAAGGCCCCATTGAATGTAAAGAACCTGCATACCATATTTTAGACAGCTCACTGCCAGGTAGCTTCGATCGTATAAGTAAATCTCTCGCCGTTTCGCCTATTCCAAACGTCAATCTGGGACTGTTATAGATACCTAAGCATAGCACTTCCCCAGCACTAACTCACCATCTAATGACTGCGAATCTCCAACAGCGGACTTGAACAGCTGCTCAAACTTGGCCTGGTCCTGCACCGTTATAAACGACAAACGCATCGGCGGTATCTTTGACCCAGCATGCGCACTCCTCGCAGGAGCCGCGGGAGCCTGCCCGGAGATATTTTGAAACGACTGCGCCATTTGCGACGACGTATGGCCCGTAGGCTGGGGAGCCTGGCTGGTGGGCTGCGGCACTTGTAAACTCGAGTTCTGCTGGGTAGGATAGCCCGTCATCTGCGGCGGTTGGAGGGAGGACTGGAAAGGGGGAGCCTGCTGCTGGTGTTGTTGCGGCTGCTGCAAGGCGCCAGGGAAACCGGTGGCCTGAGGTTGGAGCTGGGGCATTCCATAGCCGGTAGGTTGAGGCATGAAAGGTCCAGGCTGTTGTTGCTGCTGCTGCTGCGGCTGCTGGAAGCCTGGATACTGCTGTTGTTGCTGGCCGCCATACTGCTGCTGCTGGCCTGGCTGGCCGGTGGGAAACGAGTACATCACACCAGCACGCGAGGACAACGAATGGAGGTTCCGGGGATTAAGAATTAACAATATCAACGAGAGAAGAGGAAGATAAGACACAAATGGAAGCGCAAAAGAAAAAGAAATGCGGTTATAGGTGAAGATGGCTGTTTGATGCCGGAGTTGAGATGTTTTTGTCGTCGTCGCAGCGTCGAAGTTGACGTTGGAGAGTCCGAAAGCGGCAAAACATGACGCCGCCTGAAGAAGTCTTGGCGTGGGCATCTACATAGTGACGGCGAAAAGGAGAAGACGAAGAAGAAGACACTGGAAGAAGAGAAAGGAAGACGAAGATTAAAGATAGAGACGGAATGATATTAAATCCTGAGGCAGAGACCGAGGTATACACCAAGGCAAAGAATAGGCAAATGTAAAAACATGACCCAGTAATCCTCCCAGGACGCCAAAATTAAAGCTGTCATCACCCGTAAAGCAGTCAAGTAGTGACATGCATCATGAAAGTATTTTTTTTTTATTGTTTTGTTGTTTTGGTTTGTTTGGTTGAGACTCGAGGGTGCAACAAGTTTAGACACCATTAGATACCGTTTGGAGCATCATTCTGCTGGGTGCCGGCGCCGACCATCTTGCGCAGCTCATACTCCTTGGTGAACTCACGGCTGAAGATGCCGAGATCCTTGACCAGGTCGTGGCAGGCAGCAAGAACTGCTTCCTTGGGGGTAATCTGACCGTCGGTCTGGACGCGAAGGAGCACCTTGTGAACCAGCGGGTGGGGGATCTACAGACGTAGGTTAGTATTATAGTCAAATAGTCACATATATAATAAGAGATTGTGGGTGTTGCTTACGCGATATCCAGAGAAGAGGACGTGCTGGTTCTGAAGCAGACGAGAGCGGATCAAATTGCCCAAGGTGTGGTCTTCCTTGTTGAAAGTAAAGATAGCAGTAGAAGGGACACCTAGAGCTTTGTTAGATGGCAGTTCATAGGAGTTGGTGACCAGAGAATAGTCAGTATCACTCACGAGTATCAACCTCGACTTCAACCTTCTTCTCACCAGGTCCCAAGACGAAGGACTCGAATCTGTAGTGTCAAGTTAGCATGGTTTCATCAGAATAGCTGCAGATATTGTTTATGAAAGTAGAAAAACAGAAGCGAGGTCGAACCTCGAGATCATGTCCCTATGAGGGCGGACTTGGGTACGACATGGGTTCTGGCGGTAGCTCGCGCAGGAAGAGTCGAAAAAGGAGCGATCACGCTTACGCTCGTCGTCGACCATTTTGATAGATGCAAACGGTGGTTTTCAAAGCCAGAAGCAAAGATATCACAGAAAGGTGCACAAAGTGTGAGTTGTAAGGGTGAAAAGGAAAGAGAGGTAGAAAAAAGGAGGAAGGAAAGATATGAAAATATCAAATATCAAATGTGTGTGTGGAAAGGACAAAAAAGCCACGCTAAGGAATAGTGTTTGATATCAAACTGGTAGCATCAGAATACACAAGGAAATGCATAAAAGAGAGCATCGTAAAGACAGTTCTAGCATAGTTGATAGCAACAACAGGCTCACTTTGCAGGATATTGAAGATAAGGGGCTTTGTGGAGGAGATATATCTGGAGGTAGATATACCATATATTGGACTTGAAAGGACTCATATTTGGCCACAAAAACAGCAGCAAAACAGCAAAGCAGTCAACTATTCTTACCTGTCTGGAGCATTCATCTTGCTGAGGTTGAAGATGTATCAATATCTGAAAAAAGGAAGTATCAAAAACGCCGGCCCAGGAAGACTCAGGAAGACTCTGCAGACTGCCTTTCCACCCGAGGATGAGAGCTGAAGTTGACGTCTAAAAGGGGCTCGATCGATGTACGGAGAGGAACCTGGCTTATCCAAGCAGCAAGGGACCCACAGGAGCGTCGGATGATGGATAGGAGGCGTAGAAACGAGCAAAAAACAAATGTATCAAGGGAAAGAATAAGATGACAGGAGAAAGAGGGAAGATGTAAGAATAAGGGGGTATTATTTGTGTGTGAAGAGGATATCAAATTTGATGCATATATAGTAAGAGAAAACTCCGCTGGTAGAGGCTCGGCGTGGATTTTTCTTTTTACTCTCTTTTTTCTTTTCACTCTTGGTAGGACTGAGTGCAGGCTATAACTAGGAGGTATATGCTTCTTCACTCTGTATGCAGGGCCTTTTCCTGGCCTTTTAGATTGCAGCGTTGGTATAAATATAAGAGTTGCGATAGTTGAAGATTGAAAAAGATTCCAAATATGAAGTCGGAGTCGCTTTTTAGAGCTGAGTCAGCAGGAAGTCACGTGGAAGATGCAGAGCAAGAAGAGAAGATTAAAGCAGGAGAAGATGATATTATTATTTTTATTAGATGTTAAGAAGATGCTAATAATGAAGTACATAAGTATCTAAATGCCGGTAAGAGTGTAGGAGAACAGCGGTGGTGGTGGTGAATGCATGAACTAGTTACTACCAGTGCTATTGAATGGCAGCAACAACCACTTACTAGCAAGGAGACATTCACCAAAATACATGCATGGACAGACTACAGACTCCCAGGGATAAAGACACCAAATAACCTATCAGAGAGATATATATGTGATGCCTGGGCTGGCCCCGGACTCACTTAGCCGTCTCGTATATGCGTAGGCCGTGGATGCGGCCTCCAACCGCCTAACTACGTCATATTCTCAACGTCTAACTACCAACAACACGACAACCAGCACCACCATCTGATACCACACTCAACATCCAGCCATCGTATGCATAGAAACACAGGCAGACGCAGTGTTTGTCTCCGCGAGGCTCAGACGGCAGCTCACCGGCCGAGACAGCCAGCCAGACGTCCTGTGGAACCCAGGAGGCAGCTCGGAAGGTCGCCGGCTGTATTATCAATCGCCTCAACGTCGCCTTGTTTCCGTCAGCTACTCTCTCTCAGGCCGATTTCAGCTGTTCAGAAGACTCATTATTACAGTTCGGATATCCGGAAGACGAACCGCATATATACCAGCAGACAGCCACCACACATACCAGCTAACCAGACGCCAATATCAACTACCGATCCCCTACTACCAACAACAGCATATACCCATATCAAACCCCATCATCAATACCACCATCATGCCCAGTCTAAAGAAAGAGTACCCCTGGATCCAGGAACCACTCATAATATGTCCTCCCATGCTCCCCGTCGCAACAGGCGAGCTGGCCGCCGCCGTCTCAGCCGCACGCGGAATCGGCTTCATTGGACTCGGCAACAACATCGACAAACTTGACGCCCAGCTCTCCCTGGCCGCTCACCACCTGCAAACAACACACGCCCAAACCAGCCTACAAACAGCCAACGCTGCAATCCTACCTGTTGGAGTCGGGCTTTTAAACTGGGGCGTCAACCTCGAAGACGCACTGCCCTCTATCAAAAAGCATGTTCCGGCAGCTATTTGGCTGTTCGGCGCTGCACGAGAGACCATGACGGCTCTGTACGGGGAGTGGATTGCTCGTGTCCACGCTGAGACGAACGGACTCACCAAGGTCTGGGTACAAGTTGGATCTGTAGCAGACGCGCTGAGCGTAATGGACGTTTCTGACGCCCATCGGCCGGACGTGCTTGTTCTGCAGGGCTCGGATGCAGGTGGTCACGGCCTGAAGAAGGGAGCAGGCATAATTACGCTTCTGCCTGAGGTGCATGATGCGTTGGCCGAGAAGAACATTGGTATCCCGCTGGTTGGAGCAGGTGGGATTGCGGATGGGCGCGGCGTGGCTGCTGCTTTGTGTCTGGGAGCCGATGGTGTGGCGATGGGCACGCGGTTCCTGGCCTGTAAGCAGACGGATATCATGAAGGGGTATCAGGATGAATTGATCCGGGCAAGCGACGGGGGCCAGACAACTGTTCGCACAACTATCTATGATCGGCTCAGGGGCTACGTGGACTGGCCGGAGGAGTATGATGGGCGCGGGATGGTGAATCAGAGCTACGTGGATGAGCAGGCGGGCATGTCTGACGAGGAGAATAGGCGGCTGTATGAAGTCGAGAAAACCAAGGGGGACGCAGGGTGGGGGGTTAAGGGCAGGATGACCTCGTATGCTGGGACGGGGGTAGGGTTGGTTAAGGCCGTGATGACGGCGGAGGAGATAGTGAGCCAGGCCCGCGACGAGGCCAGGAAAGTGCTTAAACTAGATGTCTAGCCGGTTGGGATTGGTAATTACCATGCTTCTATCACGCTCTCTCTCTCTCTCTCTCTCTCTCTCTCTCTCTCTCGCGATAGGTTATGCTATTTTTTCCACACATGGTCAGTTAGAGTATATAACCTTTTAAATAAAACAGCTACTTACAATATTATTTAAAGAAAAGGATAGATAAATATACTTAAGAAAGGAAAAGAAACGAGATATCCCGCTGAGAACTCCCTGAGTACGATAAAATCAATAAAACGAAAAAAGCAGAGCAAGAAAGAATCTGATATAACGCCAGGAAGGAAAAAGATGAGAAGGAAAAAAAAAAAGGACACACAGATCAAGTTTCGAGAAAATTAAGCTAGTATCCGTACATGTCTTCTTGCTTGCTCGTTCAAAGGGGAATAGATTTTTTTCTTTTTTTGGCGATTCCGGGGGGGTCTTCTGGGGGACATTTTTTGGCATACGGCCGTGAGCAGATGCAATTAGGGGGGAATATAATTGAAAGAAAGAAGAAATAAAAGAAGAACATATAGAGAACAAGAAGGAATGCAGTACGCCGAGAAAAGAGGATCAAGGAAAGAGGATGGGGGATGGCGAGGGGGAATTAAAAGGAGATAAGAGGGTAAGGGGGGAACAAAGCTCAAGTGCAGATACATGAAGGGAGATTTTTATGTTTCATGGTGAGATCAGGTCAAGCAAAGGCGAAAAGAAGCGGAAGCAGGGGCAAAAGGGGGAATTTGAATATAAACGCATAGAAAGGAAGCAAACAGATAGGGAGGATAGGGGTGGGTAGGTAGGTAGGCTGGTTTACCTTCCAGTACTTCACATCGTCTCGTCTCGTCTCGTCTCGTCTCATCGCATCTCGTAACATGCTGCACTATACGGCTACGGCAGCAGGGGGAGGGGAAAGGGCAAGCAGGGTAAGGCAAGGCTAGGCAGGTTTATATGGCGGTGGGATGAACGTAGTCGCCCAACGAGCCGTCATGGCCGCTGGCACCACCACGCCTAAACTTCCAGCCAGTCTTCTTCTTTTCGCGGTTCTTCATCATCTCAGCCCATCCCTGCTCGTCGTCTTCGTCTTCTTCGCCTGTTCCGGGCGTGGTTGGTAGACCGGCTATAGATCCCCGACTGCCGTTACCCAGTCCCATTGGAGACGCACGGCGATTTATGGAGCTGACGGGGCGTACGGTGGGGGTGGTCTCGGAGGTCGAAGGTGTGGTGGCGCTTAGGTTGGTATTCGACTTGTTGGCAAGTATTTGGCCTAGTGGTGGTGGTCGTTCTTCAGCCCAGGGTCGGAGGGTGTGGCCTGTGAATGTTGAGGAGCGGTTGGTGCCATTGGCTTGAGGGGCGATGGTTGAAACAGGGCGGTAGCGGGATGCGGCGCCGATGTTGCTGCGTTCAGAGGGGGCGACGGAGGGAGTGTAGCCTGGTGCTGGTCCGGAGCCCAAGCCGCCGCCCATGCCCATGCCCATTCCCATCCCCATGCCGAGTGAGGGACCAGACATGTCGGGCGTCATGAGGAACGAAGCGCGGTTTCCGGGGTTCTGGTAGGCGCTGGCGGTGGACGGGTCGAGCATGCTGAGAGTTCGGTGATCGACCTGTGGCGGCCCACGGAACTGAGAGGGTGTGGAGGTGGAGGCCATAGAGAAGGGCCGCTGGTTGGGGTTGGGCGGCTGCAGGAGAGACGCGGAGCTTGCGTTCATGTTGAGGTTTGGCATTGGGCCTCCTGGCGGTGGAGGCTGCTGCTGCTGGGCCCCTTGCATCTGCATCATCTGTTGCATCCATTGCATCTGCATCTGCATCATGTTTGTCATTTGCTGGGAGACCTGCATCTGGGTCTGATCTGCCGGTCCACCGACGCTGCCTGGCTGCGGGTACGGATGGTGATGGTGATGGGGATTTATTGTTCCAGCACCACCTATTAGCCCGTTGGTGTTCATTCCGCTGACCATGCCGGCCTGAGCTTGCTGATGCTGCTGTAGCTGGCCCAGGAGACCGCCCATCTGCATCTGGGGCTGTGGAGCAAGGAAGTTGGTATGGACCTGAGGAGCAGGGGACAGGTCATAGACGCCCTGTGCATTGGGACTGCCACGACGCATTGCACGAGCTCGTTCCTCAGAGGCAATGACACCGACCAGGCCACCGGGGGGAAGGCCTGGAGGACCGAGATTGACAGTGTTGAGGTTCACTCCCGGAGCACCACCGCCGAGAGCCAGGGATTCACGATGGGACGGGTTGACGAGGCTGGAGCCATAGTACGGGTCCTTGGGCAGGTTTCGGGCAAAGACAGGCAGGGTGCTTCGTTTTGACGGGCCTTCCTGCATGCCCGCAATTGAGGCAGCCCCTGCCTGGAAGGATGCATTCAGGTTTGGATTGGAGCGAGACGCAGCCAGGTGAGTGGGCGGACGGTTGCGGTGAGGAAAGCCATGGGCAGCGAGGATACCCAGAGGCACATCGTCGTCTTCTTCGCCGTCTGAAGGGGAGGATTTTGAGAGCCCAACGCCTGGGGGGAGGCCCGGGGAGACGCCGGGGGAGCTGGAGGCGGTGTTTATATTAAGATTATTATTGGTATTATTGTTGTTATTGGAGTTGGCCACCTCCATGGGGTCGAGCACCGACCTGCGGTTCGGGTTACCGGCAACAGACTCAGCGCTTCCGGCCGGGCCGTTGGTGGACGCCTTCTTCTGCTCGCCGGTGATCTTCATCATCTGCTGGCGGTAGACGGACAGATGAGCTTCCTGCTTCTGTCTCTGGGCGGCGGCCTGCTTCCTCTTCTCGGTCTCATCTTCGTCGTCTTCGCTTTCGATCTCGTCTTCTTCGTCGGAGCTGGGCTCGCTGGGGGCCCTCTGGGCTTGTTGCTGCTGGTACCGCTCGAACTGGGCGGGAGTCATGACCTTGTTGCCGGTCTTGGACGAGGCGAGGGAGGAGGCATAGTGGGAGTTCATGGAGGCGCTGGGGGGTATATTTTTGCGGAAGGAAGAAGAGCTGTGGTATGGCTGACGGGGCACGGCGGAGAAGTCCTTGTCACTGGAGAAGAGCGAGGACACTTCCGGATCACGGTCACGGTCACGAAGGTCTCGGAACCTGTCCCTGTCTGTCGAGGAGTAGATGTTGGGCGTAGAGCGAGAATTGGGCATGCTCGAGGCTGCAGCAGTAGTAGCTCTGGCGTTGTTGGGGCTAGACTCATTCAGCTCTACGTTTTGTAATTGGCTGGCGAGCTTCTGGGAGAGGGCAAAGTCGTCAGCCGCAATGAGGCTGTCTCGAGAATTCCGGCTGTGGTTCGAGGACAGGGGAGACAGGGGCGAAGGAGACACCACCCTTTTATCCTTTGCCGGCACGCTCGGAGCAGGTCTCCCTGGCTATAAGTGTAAAAAATCAAGAGTTAGACGTATATATGTGACCCATTATAGGGAAGGGGAGGCGGGGGGGTTTTAGATAGAGTGAGAGAGAGAGAGAGTGGGAATGTCTCTCACCTGCGGAATATTGGTTGGTATATTTTCCAGTACTCTGCTCCGGCGTTTGTCGACACCCACACCTTCGAAGATGTTGCCCATCTCGCCGGAGCCCTCGAGGGAGAGGTCAGTCTCCATGAGCTTGGGCGGAGTAGCCGTGCTGGTGGTGCTGTTTGTCATGGCCCGTTCCCGGTTGGTGCTCTCGGACTTCCGGGGCGTCGAGGTCTTGGAGGCCTTGGAGCCAAAGGAGAACGTCCTGCCCGAAGCGCGAATGGAGAAGGAGAAGGGCGACTCCGGGATGGGCGGCACTGGGATGGCATCGTGGGGGGAATGGTCTGTCGACGAAGGTAGGGTGGACGAGGAGCTGTATCTGGCGGACGAGGCGCTGGAGCTATCGTAGGGCTTGCTCGAGGAGCCGTTGGAGGAGCCGGCCAGCTTGCCGGTTCTCGAGCTAACGGCGGTTCCGGGGACGTGGGAGGTGCTGCTGCTGGCCGGGGCGGGCTTCTGGATGCCGGCAAAGATGTTGTCAGGGTCCGGGTCGTCTGCGGCCGCGGCCTTCTTGAGCGCAGAGACGGAGTCGAAGGAGTGACTGGCCCGGTGAGGCGGCCGTTCGAAGACGCGGAACGAGGGCTCTGGCGGCGGCGTCTCGTCCAGGACAGGGCCAGACTTGCGGCGGCCGAAGCCGGGTATCTTGATAGGCATGCTTCTCTCTTCTGCTTCACTGTGTCTCTTCGTCTGTCTATCTCTATCTCTTCCTTCTGGTTGTTCTGTGGGTGGTGCCTATCTCTCCTGTGTGTATATGGGGGTGATATGGCTATCTCGGAGTCTCAGGCGTAGGTCGGAGGCGGCAAGGAGAGCAAGGAGAGCAAGCCTAGGCAGGGTCAGCAGTCAATTCACTGTCTTCAGTCTATTCTCCAGTCTTTCTTCAGTGTTTTCTTCAGTCTGTCTGCTGTTGTTGTCTTCTATCTGGTGGTGGTGGTGGTGGTGATGCTGTCTTCACCTGAGACATGACACTGCACAGGCATGCAGGCTGAGCCACCACAGACAAAGAGGCAGCAGAAAGGAAGACAATAAGGAGGAGAAGCAGAGGAAGATGAAGCAGAAGAAGCAGATAAATAGCAGAAGAAGAAGAAGAAGAAGAGGAAGAGGCAAAGAAGAGGCGGTGCTTCTACCAACCTGCTAGAATGTCTCAGCCGGCATGGCAGCAAAAAGATGGACCGCAAGGAAGAACAGTTAATAATAACAGCAATAATAAAGATAATAAGAGTAACCAATGCAGAGATTAAGAATAAATAGCAAGAAGCGAGGCCGAAGAGTCGACGGCGAAGAACGAAGACGCAGTCGAAGAAGAAGACGAAGAAGAAGAAGAAGAGAAGAAGAAGAAGCGAAAAGTCGAGCCCAGCAGGGATTCTCTTCTTCTTCTTCTCTACAGCGCGAGACAGCAAAAGACGAAGCGGAAGCAACGACAGCGACGAAGAAGAAGACGACGACGAAGATACAAAGACGAAAAGGAAGACGAAAGACGACGACGAAGACGAAGACAAGAAGATGAAGTCTGCCGCAGGTGGCGATGAGGACCAGAAAGGCCCGTCAGTCTTCAAGGTACGGCTCTAATAAAGTCCACTGTCCTCCCCACGCCGGGTTTCAGCTTCGCCGGTGCTCCTGTCTGCCGATATCTTCTATTTGATATTGTCTTATCTAAGTTGGTTACGCTGTCTAACTGTCCATTCTAGGCCTCCTGTCGCCTGTCAACTAAGTGTCTTGTCACCCTCTCTGGCTGTCAGCTTTCCCAGGTTCCAACTTCGTGTCTCTGCGTCTTCGTCTTCGTCCCAGACCCAGGTCGAGGACAGCTCAGGGCAGGGCCTATCAAAACAGCGAGGACTGCATGAAGAAAAAAAAAAAAAAGAAGAGACGACGAAGAAGAAGAAAAGAAAAAGGCGAGGAGCTACATAACTAGTCGGGAAGCTTGCTGGGGGGAAGATGCTGGGATGATGCTGCGTGTCCATGTTTGCTTTTTCAGCGAGAGACAATCGCATTGAAGAAAAAAAAAAGGAAGAAGACAGAAGAAAGAAATAAGAAAGACGCATGTCGAATCGACGAGAAGACGGAGAAGCAGATGAAGACGACGAACTGAGATCGACGGTCGTGGTCGGTGATAGTCTGGTTGGCTGTGTCACTGCTGCTGGTGGTGGTGGTGATGATGATAGCTGATGCTGATATACGGCTCCCCTACGTGTCTCCAGTGACGGCGACGGCGACGGTGACAGCGAGGACAGGCAGAAGGTAAACAGAAGGCGAAGAAGACGGAGAAGAAGGAGAAGAAGGAGAAGAAGAAGGTCAAGGTTGGTGTCAGAGTTTGAAAGGGGGATCCATGGATCAGCGAGTCGTAGTTGTCAGCCAGATGTCAACTCTGCTACGTACATTAAAGTAGAGTTACAGGCAAAAAGTATCAGAAAGTAAGTAACTAGTCTCCTGGAAGTATGTATTGAGTGAAAGTCTACATGGTGTGCGCATTCAGGCCTCCGATCAGAGCGACTCCGGCAGGTGGCTGGACGGCAACAATGTTGAAGCATGCAAAGGCCATCACCTTGCGCAGGGCCGGACAGGCCTTGAACAGCCGGCGCATCACCACGTCGTCGATGCGCGTGTGGAAGGACAGGTCGATCTCGCGCAGGTGAGGGTACGTCTGGCCCTCGCCGAAGACTTCCTCCAGCGCATCGAAGCCCACCTGGCGGCAGGACGAGATGGTCAGATGCTCGAGCTTCTCGCCGGAGTGCAGCATCATGGCTCGGAAGCCCTTGCTGCCCAGGCCGGGATTGTCGTCCTCGTCGTCGGAATTATCACCTATACCAGTACCGGGCATCAGAGATATAGGCTCGAGGGAGCGGTTGCTGGAGAAGTCGATAAAAGTCAGCGGCGGGTTCGGCCAGTCCGTGAAGAGAGATGCCAGTGCAGCGTCAGTAAAGTTCTCGTTATGGGACAGACGCAGCTTGCTCAGGTGTCGGGCAGTCTCATGGATTATTGCCAGGCTGGAATTGCGCATCGGCTTGAAGTGTCTGAGCGAGAGCGTGCGAAGACCGCTGCATCTCGCCTTCAACAGTGCATTGACGCTCTCCAGGTCTCGTTCATTCGCCTCGTTGTCGTCGGGGTGGCTGCTGTCTTCATGGCGATGTCGCATGTCCAGAGATAGATACTCCAGCTTGTCCAGCTTGGCTATAGACTGGAGACAGTCATAGGTCAATTTCCAGCAGTCCGTCAGCTTCAGACGGCGCAGATTGGGGCAGCTCGAGACCATCACCTCGACCGTCTCGTCGTTGAAGGCGCAGTCCAGGTACGATAGCTTGACGGTCTCCAGCTTTGAGCCGCACGTCTGGAAGAACCGCCGCCAGCAGCCCTCGGTCACAAGATTGGTGGCATCCAGGATCAGATGCTTGATGTGGCTCTCGCGGCTCATCACATACTCCAGTACGCCGTCCTTGAGCTGTCCTGCACAGCACAGGTTGACTCGCTCCAGGAGCGGCATCGTCGCAAACACCCTGTGGAAGTCCTCTTCCTCCAGTTCTACCACAGTCAGCTCCATACTACCCTATCATACCGCGTATCTTTTTGAGACACTTACTAGCTGCATCGAAGATATCAATCGTGTTGACGTCACTGCGCAGAAACAGTCCCAGGGTCCGCGGCGTGAGCACCCGCCGCTTGCTCAGAATCTGGCTGAGCCGCAACCGCAGTTCCCCAGGCAGATCCCCAAACTCCTCCACATCGTTGATATTGTTCGCCACTTGCTATAGCATCGTCAGTTATAACATGTTCCTGAAACTCTGGAGCAAGGGGGGAAACGAGACACAAGTACCCACCCTGATACACATCTCCAGCAAGCTAAATGCCCCCCGCTGCGCAATGCCGTCCAGCAGGTTACTGTTCATCTGTCTCGTCGCCCTGGCTTTCTGCCTCTTGGGCTTGGGTTTGGCCTTCTTCTCGTCAGCGGCCATCTGCTTGCCGCAAGGGGTGCACAGGAGTCCGCCGTCGGGTCCCGTCTTGCTGTACGCGGTCACCGTGAACCGCTTATCACACAGCTCGCAGTTGGCCAGCTGGCCCGGCGCGGGTACGCGTGCCTGGTTAAACGCCTCCTCGTAGTCCTCATCGTCGTCGTCAGAGACATCCTGTCCTCGACGTCTCGCTTTGGCCTTTGCCATTGCCTTGGCTTTCGCTGTTGCTGCTGCGGCGGCCGTGGCTGCAGTGCGTTTGCGTTTCCTGGCTTTGGCCTGCTGGGCTGCTGCTTCAGCTTCAGCTTCGGCCTCTGCTTCTGCCTCGGCTTCAGCTTCATTGTCTGCTAGTGCTTCCTGCGCTGCATCTTCTGCTAGTCTGGCTTCTTCCTGTTCTTCCTGGGCCCGGACTGCCTGGTTCTGGCGCTGGGCCTGGCTGGCTCTCTGGTTAGCTGTCTGCCGGATATCAGCTGCAGAGATGTTATGTGCCTGTTCCTGTCAGCTCTATCACATATTTATAGATGCATAGAGACACCTACAGCCAGGAAATCAGTCAATGCAGAGCGTCTACATCCATTCTATTAGCTCTTCTTTCTCTTCATCTCTTCATGGGTATAAAGTCACAGACTCACGGCCCCTGGATCCGGCGTCTTGGATTAGACCTACAGTCAGTCAGTTAGTAAATAAATAGAAGAGACAGTGCATGTTCAACTCTAGACACACTCACATCTTCTCACCCCCTTTCCTTCGCTTGTCTTCTTCCTGTCTTCTTCTCTCTGGAGTTTGTGTCTTCTAGAAGTCCTTTTTATGTCCTTCATGGATCTCTTTAAGTGGTTTCTGCATTCACGTGATCACGTGCCGCGATTATACTTTTCTTACGCGTTTCAGAGATTCAGCAAGTTACGAGTCGACAAGACAGAAGATGTGAAAAGCAGAAGAAGAAGAAAAAGAGATAAGAAAAAGAAGAGAAGAAGTAGAGCAAAGATAGAGAAAGGGATAAAGAAGAGGATAAGAGACTAGCAGGATAAGAGAAGAGGTCTCTGAAGCGCGATGGCGATGGCGGATGGCAAAAGTAGGTACTTCTGCTCCATGGCTGGATCCATGCTAAATCTCTGCCAGACACCCCCCTTGGCCAGGCAGCAACCCGCCGCAGCTCCAGAGTGGCCTCTGCATCCAAGGGCACAGATGAGACAGCCAGAGAGGAGCCAGCGAGGTCCATGTCCATTCCAAAGAGACAGGCAAACATCATGGTGGCCATTCCAGTGAAGAAGGGCAGCCTCGGGGCCTCAGCCTCAGCCTCAACCTCAACCACGTCGACCTCGGCCTCGTCCTCCATGACTGGCCAGAGTCCCGCTGGATACAGCACGCCTGCTACTACGGCCACTACAACGCCGAAAAATGAGCCAGAGTCGAGTACTAGAGCCTCGAGAAGAGTCAATGCTACTGCTCGTGCTCTAGAGTTAAGAAACAGCTCTCTCGGCTTGAACAGCAGGAAGAGACCAGCCAACGCTGGCAACAGCAGGCTAAGTACGATTGACGATGAGAAGCTGGCTGCTGCACTCCAGGCTGAAGAGTACAATGCCAGACCTACTGCGAAGAAACAGAAGACCGCCCGTGGCTCAAAAGGAAAGCCTGTCATACCTGATTCCGAGTCTGACGCTGAACCAGAACCAGAGTCAGATTCAGATTCAGAAGAGTGGTTCAGCACAAATGAAGAGGCTATCAAAAATACTCCCAAAAAGTCATCTAGGAGAACGCCCAAGGACTATCGAGCAGTCTCACCCTCAGACTCCGACCTGAATAGCGTGGTAGGCATGGTGACTGACTCTATGAACTCGAGCCAGCTGTCAGACATAAGCTCAATCGCGGACTCAGAAGAGTCCGATGATTTAGTTCCTAATGGCCGCTATCGTCGCCTGGAACGTTTCATAGGAGCAAGCAAACCTACTAGGGTAAACTCATGTTCCTTTCATTCCAAAGTCAGTGGGTTATACTAACCTTCCTCCAGGCCCAGAAGGAACGGATCAAGCTTGAAAGACAACATCCCCAAATTACAGATATGTGGGAGAGACTTGAGCAGAAGCCTATCCTCTCACCCCCTCCTGCTGCTCAGCCAGAGGGCATTAATAGGAAATTGAAGCCGTTCCAGCTCGAGGGGCTTAGCTGGATGCTAGCCCAGGAGAAGTCGGAGTGGAAGGGAGGCTTGCTTGGAGACGAGATGGGCATGGGTAAAACTATTCAGGCTGTCTCCCTGCTGATGTCAGACTATCCTGTTGGGAAGCCCTCGTTGGTCGTCGTTCCTCCTGTCGCTTTGATGCAATGGCAGGCCGAAATAGAGGTAAGCACCGCTCCCTGAACATTCCCTACTAGACAAGATCAAGCTGACATCTTATTAGTCCTATACCGACGGCAAGCTGAAAGTGTTTGTCTATCATAACGCCAATTCCAAGGTGAAGGACGTCAAAGCCAAAGAACTCAAGACTTACGACGTCATCATGGTATCATGTATGTTCTCCTGACCTGCAAGTTAGATTAACTCGTCTCTAACCCCCCTTTTGCATAGATTCCGGTTTAGAATCAATGTACCGCAAGGAAACCAAGGGCTGGAAACGAGACGGCGGACTGGTTAAAGGCACCAGCATGCTTCACTCACTTGACTTCCACCGCCTCATTCTCGATGAAGCCCATAACATCAAGCAGCGTACCACCAGTGTGGCCAAGGCCTGTTTCGCGCTAAAATCAACATACAAGTGGTGTCTGTCTGGAACCCCCGTGCAGAACCGAATCGGCGAGTTCTTCTCTCTTCTTCGCTTCCTGGAAATCAAACCGTTTGCATGCTATTTCTGCAAGACTTGCCCCTGCGAGGCTCTCCATTGGACACAGGACGCACAAAAGAAGTGCACTCTTTGCAACCATAAGTATGTAAACTATCACACTCAGTTTAAAGTCGAGAAGATACTGACATATCTCGACTATCAGTGGATTCAACCATGTCTCTGTATTCAACCAAGAGATTCTCAACCCAAGTAAGTTGATGTTATGAGATGCTTTTTTCTTTAGTAGATGCCAGACTAACGGATAGTAGTTACTGAGCATCGCGGCGACGATGAAAAGCGCAAGGACGCCCTGAAGAAACTGCGCCTTCTCACTGACAGAATCATGCTTCGACGAGTAAAGAGAGACCATACTTCGTCCATGGAACTTCCCCCGAAGAGGTGAGTGTCTTCAGAGCCACTCTACCAAAGTATAAAGTCTAACCTCCGCAGAATCGAAATTCATCGCGAGTTCTTTGGAGAGATAGAGCAAGATTTCTCCCGTAGTATCATGACCAACACTACCCGCCAGTTCGACCGCTACGTCAGCCGGGGAGTCATGCTCAACAACTATGCCAACATTTTCGGTCTAATCATGCAGATGCGACAGGTAGCCAACCATCCAGACCTAATCCTCAAGAAACACGCAGAAGGCGGCCAGAACATCCTGGTATGCTGCATCTGCGACGAGCCTGCCGAAGAACCCATTCGCTCCCGATGTAAACACGAATTCTGTCGCCAGTGCGCAAAGGAGTACATGGCCTCAGTCCAGTACGGCTCCGAACCAGACTGCCCACGCTGCCACTTGCCGCTATCAATCGACTTTGAACAGCCCGACATCGAACAAGATGAAGGCGGCGTCAAGAAGAACTCCATCATCAACCGCATCAAGATGGAGAACTGGACCTCTTCAACCAAGATTGAGATGCTGGTCTTTGACCTGTGCCAGCTACGAAACAGGAAACGCACCAACAAGTCCATCGTCTTTTCGCAGTTCACCTCCATGCTGCAGCTGGTCGAATGGCGACTACACAGAGCAGGTATCAGCACCGTCATGCTAGACGGCAGCATGTCGCCTGTCCAACGACAGCGATCCATCGACTATTTCATGAAAAACGTCGATACGGAGGTATTCCTCGTCTCTCTCAAGGCCGGTGGTGTAGCTCTCAACCTTACCGAAGCCTCACGGGTATTCATCGTCGATCCGTACGTCGTCTCTCTCTCTCCCTTTAAATCCCCCTTTTTAACATAAAAGTTACGCCCCACTAACTAACCAATGGCTGTAGATGGTGGAACCCAGCTGCAGAATGGCAATCCGCCGACCGATGCCATCGAATCGGCCAGCGACGCCCCTGCGTGATCACCCGTCTGTGCATCGAAGATTCCGTCGAGTCTCGCATGGTCCTGCTGCAGGAGAAAAAAGCCAACATGATCAACGGCACGATTAACAAGGACCAAAGCGAGGCGCTGGAGAGGTTGACGCCAGAGGACATGCAGTTCCTCTTCCGCGGAAACTAATCATCCCCATAACATAAACCAATTTAGATGACTTTGCATGTGTACATATTTTATGAAACTGAAGCTGAAACGTTTGATAGTTATGTTTGGCTCAGGAACAGCAAGCTTTAGGTTGTTCCTGAAAGTTGTCCACTCAACCTTGGGAGCTAGCTAGAGGTGGCGAAGTCCCAAACGTGTGTCCCTGCTGTGAGCTGGTGAAGTTGACCTGTTGAGCCCCTGAAGAGAATGGCCGGCCTAGTTAGTGAGGATGAGCACGCCCGCCGTCGATCAGCGGCAGTAGACGCCGTGTCTATCCCCCGATAAGGTGCCATGGCGGAGGGATCAGACGGCTAGATAGACAGCTAGATGATGTAACTACCGCTGCTAGGTCTCCCATAGTCAATGTTGTCGAGTCCGTCTTTTCATCCCCCTGAGAGCAGCCAAGACTCAGTCCAGGAGAATAACACAGGTGGCCAGTGCGTCCTCACAATAACTAAACTAACGACTCCTCATAACCGCAACTCCTTGACTACTCCGTACGTCACTAACATCCATCATGCAACGACAAGAATAGCTCTTACGACTGCGGCTGAGCCACCCAACACTCAATCGTCTATCCAACAGAGTAACCTAACGCGCAACGCAACGGCCGGTGGACGACGACCCCGCCAGAAAACTCTTTGGCTCCATCAGCCTGACACTCACCTCCTGTAACCACAGAAACCTCCGGCACCCTCTTCCGGCCTTCTTCTCGTTGCATATGCACGCAGCCGGCAAACCAGCTCGTAACGCGCATGAAATTGCTCATATATTCACTGGCTAGCTGACAGTCGGAGCTGAAGCGAGCCGGGGTCAAGGGGATCAAGGGGACAGCCCTCCCAGCCACCAGCCTTACACCACCTTGCACCCACATCCACCGCACTACAGTCACCCATCGGTATGTAGTGTCAAATTACAGTCACCCATCGGTATGTAGTGTCAAATTGATACTTTGGCTCCACCAAATACGAGCTCTGAGTAGGGGGGTTATTAAATACTAGATTATACCTTTTAAATATTAGTTCTAATACTATTTTATAGTTACTTAGAGATATACTAGTATTTTATATAGATATCTCTATTTAGATATACTATATCTAGTACTTTATAGGGCCTCCCTTATTCTAAAATATAGCCTATACTTTATCCTCTATAGATTTAATTAAGGAGTTAAAGAATATAAGTTTAATAGTATTCTAGACCTTCTAGATAGCTATTTTAAGCTCTATAAGCCTTATTATTTAGAGGTAATAAATTTAGATATAGTTTTTTATTATATTCTAAATATTCTTAATTAGATTTAAATTTAGAGAGTAAGGGAGCTAGTTAATTAAACTAAAGTTATTCCTTACTATTACCTCTACTATAATAGTAGCTATATAAGGGGGGGTATTATTCTATATAAATTTATAATCTAGATAAGCTCTTATTTATTCTACTACTAAAGGAATAATTCTATTACTATAATTTACTTTATTTATTTTACTCTATTCCTTCTCCTATATAAGGTAAGGTCCCTTAATTATATCTATAAAAAAATTCTAAAATATTTAATCTTTATTTTTTTAAGGATTTAATATAATATAGATAAAATTAAAAGTCTTATTCTTCTTTTTTATAATAAATATCTAGATATATTAACCCCTTATAGACTATATTTTATTTATTTAAAGTATTTTTCTCTAATTCTTTTTTATTTTATATAGATATTTTATTATAAATTATAGTTTTATTTTATAAATTTAATTAAATATAGAGGGGGTTTTTTAAATAATTTAATATTAGAATTTAACTCTATATAAAGTATATTAAATAATATAAATTTCTACCTTAAAAAATATATTTTTAGTTAGTTCCTTATATATTAATTATTTATTCTCTAGATTAGTATAAATATAATTAATAAAAATATTAATTTATTCTATAAAGAGAGATTAAGGTCTTCTAATTTACTTTTTAAAAGAAGGAACCCCTTATTTATAGATATAATAAACCTAATAATAAATAAAATTTTTAACTTTTATAATTTAAATATAGATAAAACCTTATTTATAGAAAGTAAAAATTTATAAATAAAAATTATAATTAAGATAAAATTTATAAAATATTTTATTAAAAAATTATTAATTTTAAAAAATATACTAAATTATTAATAAATATAATATTTTATTCTATTTTTTAAAAAATATAATATATAAAATTATTAATTAGAATTCTTACTTTTAAATAGTAATATTATTTAACTTTATAGTTAGTAAGAACTTCTATTAGTAATAAAAATACTTAATATACTTTTTTGATATAATTTAGACTTAACGCCTAGTAGTATTTTAGCTCTACCAAATACAAATTTATAATAGCACGTACACTATATAATATAATATAATATCC